CATTGCAGGACAAGGCATTCTTGCATTCTTCAGCTGGATCTTTCCTTTCAGTGACTCTCATTTGTTCCTAGTATAGCAAGAGGGTGAGTGGTGAATGGAGCTCATCACCTGACACATCCATCCACCAACATTTTAAAGGAATTGCAGCCTTGCAAAGGGGACAGAGATCGTATCCCATCAGTTGGTATAGGTGGTTTCTGGTTACTGGAAATCTTGGAAATTAAAGCAACTGAAAAGGCTCTTGTTTTCTTTTTTTCTTTTCCTGGTCCTCATTCACCTGGGATGACTGAGGTGCAGCTTTGAGATTCAGTTATTTTGATTGAAATTCCCCATGTGCAGAAAATGTGGTGAAGAGCTTATTTAAGATTTACTCTTATAAAACCCCATAACAGGTAAAATTCTCAAGTGCTGCAGAACTTTGTGTTGGTGATCTTAGCCTTTTTTGCTCCCTCCTCCAAGCTAAGCCTCAGCCACTGGACAGGAGTAGGAGCCTTGTCCCTGTGTGTCCCTGTGCCTCCCTGTGAGTGCACAGGTTGCTCTGCCATTGGAGGAGGCAGTTTGGGGTGCTGTGGGGAAATGGGGTCGATGAAGAGCTCCTATTTTTGCAGAACTAGTGGTATTTATCCCACATTTTCTAAACTCCAACCCATCAAAACAGCTTTTCTTGCACTTTGTGTAACACCACTTTGCCGACTTCGTACCTGTGGAAATCTGGTTTGCAAACAACCTGCCTTTATTCCTCTCTCAGACATCCTATTTCTGTATCAAACACCCTCCCTATCAATATCCATCACAGAGCATCAAAGGCCAGCTTCAGCCTCCCACTCCTCTCCCCATTAGGAGGGGATGGAGTAAATCAGCTCTCCGGCTGGTCCCGAAGGCTTCCAGGCTGCGGTGGAAGATGAATTGCACCATTGCCTTTTATGACTAATGCAGAGCAATCATACCAGGACTTCACAAAGTGCCATACATCTTCAAAGAAAGAGCTGTGTGTCCATTAGCTAAATAGCTCTGCTCGACACAGGACTGCCTGCAATAGTGCAAGATGGGGGAAAATAGTGCACATTTCCCTCCATCTGAAATACACCCGAATCTGTGGGGGAGCTCCTTTTTATCACATGATAGATAAGCCTTTAGATAAGGCGAGCACAGTCTCTGTAATCTGCAGGACACAATGCAGGTGTGAGAGCACAGGACCCGATTACCCCCACTGCATTAATAAATATCCCAAATTAACCAAGGGATGAGCTTTCTGCTCTGGAAGTAAAGCTCCTGCACCCTCTGCTGGGGAGAGGGTCGTGCCTGCACAGGCTGGCACATCAACAATGTCCTGGTCAGATGCTGGCTTTTCACAGGATATCAATCTCAAAGCCCTTATTTTGCCATGGAAATACCCAGAGGGATGTGGCTGAGATGGGGAAGACAAGATGGGATCTCCCCCCACCCCAGCCCTTCCTGCCATGCCGAGCTAGAAAGCCCGCAGCCCTCAGATGAGAAGGAAGCTTTGAATAATATATTTGATGCTATCAATAAATCATGGAATGAAATCAAAATGTGTTTCTTCTCCTCCCACCCTCATCTTGAAGAGCAAGAGGCCAGGAAACATTAATACTCAGGTCTTTGGTATTTCCCATGCAGCAGCTTCTCCCACCTCACAGAATAACCCATTCCTTACAAGAACACACATATTGCCCCATTTAAGAACCCAGCTGCACTGAATCCCTTTATTTTTGCCAGTAATGCTGCTTTCCTCTGTGAATAGACAGAGTGAGACATCCTAAACAGACTTCCTAAAACTGGGGAAAACCCCACATTTGCCTGCACCCTTCCCTTATTTAGGAGGAATGAAATCCAGATGCTTTGAGCTACTGAGCTGGGCTGGGGGGACATGGGGGGTGTGTGCTCAGTTCTGAGAACGATCTCCTGCTTCTCCCCAGAAAAACAGCTCCAAGGTTGAAAGGGATGCATCCCTTAGAAATTCCACTATGTTTTTCTAATTGGTGTTTACCTATAATTAGCACGGGTTTTCTGGACTCTGAAGGACCCAGAAGTTGAGCTGGAAAAGCAGGAGAACGAGTCTGCTGCACTGAGGGGATGCGGTGCAGCAGCGGGTGGGTTTCCAGCGTGGTGCTCAGCAGCATAGCATGTTCACTCTGCCATCTAGGGCCCAGCTCTGGGCAGGCTGCTCACCTCCCTCCTCCCAAAGAGGAGCTCTGGCATTTCTACAGGATGGGCTGGAGAGGAGATTTCAGCTTTGAGCCTCTCTAATACCCGCAGCACACGTTGGTAAGTTAATGTGGGTGGGTTCGAAGTGATGCCAGCGCCTGGATCTTTAGGAGAGGGAGATCCAGAGGTATCAGCACCTCCCTTGGTCATGTCACTACTGAGCAGGAGCTGTTTTGTTTGAGATTACTTTTATATTTGCTATATCCCTTTCCACACAAAGAAAATGTGCCTCCACATGTTTATCCATCATACAGTGCTCCATTGCTGAATAGCAGGGAGCTGGGATTATGTGATGCACCAGTTCTCCCAGTTAATCCATTGTGCCTTTGTGAGTTCTGCTGTTTGGTTTTACCACTTAATTAAAAGTATCTTATTTGATTTGTATTCACTGGCTCCTTCATACTCTGATTTCAGTAAAAGCTTCAGCTGAGTCAGGAGAAGACAAAGAATAAAATCACATTTTAGCATTTACCTTTTAAGAAGAAATCAGGACCTGAAAAGACACAGATACCATGTTTTTTTTCTTAGTTTGGGAAACCAACCCCAAACCTGTGCACTGCTTTTGTGCTCAAAATGGAATTGAGCAGAAAGCTTCAAAAATTAAAGTAATGCCAGTTCAACCAAACCCTCACACTGGTGCTGACCAGTGACAGAGGGAGGAAAACAAGCAGCAAGAATTTCTACTCATTTTTGATACTAGAAACTTGAGAGTGATAAAGTGTGTCACTGCATCTAAAACATTTGCATCTAAAACATCATTGGGAAATGTGTAATTTATAGGTCTGGTCATGGGGGAGTGTCTGGGACTGGCTCAGCTGAAGCCAAAGTGAAAAGAGGAGCTCAGGGACACTTGTTTTATTTAGCAACTAAATTCAGTGGTTTGAAGAGTTGTATCCAAAAATCTCCTCTCTCCACCTCTAACTTGTCTCATGTTGACAGTCCTTCAAGGGCAAGGAGATAAAAAGTTTGCTCATGAGTTTTGTATGAACAATCTCATGTTCCGTTATTCACCAAATTCCTTATTCATGCCAAATTACATAAGCTTTTAAAGTGTGTCCCATGTCCTCTTCCTTTCACTTCAATTTAAGTCTGCCTTTCTCTTTAACTATGTATTATTAACTTCCTTACGTAAAGAGAGTGACCACCTTGCTGAAAATGGTTTCTCTTTCCAGAAAGACACTTTAGGCCCAAAACCACCATTAGGTTACTATTGATGGAAACGGGAGAGAGCTGCCAAGAAGGTAATAAGGGTAAATTACATCCCAGAGCAGGGCTGGAGCAGCATTTAATGGATCAGAGAGATTTCATTCATGGTTCTGCCACTGAGTTATTGCACCGCTTCAGGAAGGAAAAGGGTTTCTGCCCACCCAGGTTTGGAAACCCAAATGCTGGAATCAGGTGTTATTGGGATCAAAAGCTGGAGTTGGCTTTTTTTCCACCTTGGACTGAGAAGCATCAGTTTCAGGTGTCTTAAATGGAGTGCCCAAAATTAGGACCGAGATTTTACAACCCGAGCCTTCATCTTGTAACAACTCCTGCTTACCCCTCCAGTGAGTAAGGAAGAAATGTTTCTTTAATTTCAAAGGATAGTAAATGGTCTAATTAGTTAGCAAACAGAAATACCCAGACTGGGATTCTGCTTAGGTACAGAGCATGGCAGAGATTTTGGCAATGAGCTCATCCTGCAGAACTTCAGACCCTGTCTCTGCATATGCAATCCCAAACAAGTGTGCTTATTTGGGAAAAATTTTATTTAACTTATTATGCTCCAGCAGCATCCCTGTTCAGGTGTGGGGGATGCTGCAGGACAGCCTTTGGATGCAGCACAGGATCCTCTTCAGATGACCGGGAATGTGCCTTTACAAAACCAAGAATTTTCCTGCTTATCTCACTGATGTGAAACACAACGAGATAAAATCTAATGATGTTACTGCAGCACACTCAGTGTGCTTTATCCACTGGGAAATGCTCACACCTGGCCTCCTCTAATAGCTCTGGGGAGGATGGAGCTGTTGAAGGCTTCCAGCCAAGTCCTCTGGCACAAGCAGGGGCTGCTGTGCCTGAACACAGCGTTCCTTCTGCCAAGCCTCTTTCACTGCCTTGCCCAAATGACTGGCAGGCTCTTTAAAACCCAGGCCCTGGTTCCTGTAGATTCTCTTATTTCATCTTTCTGGAAAAAAAAAAAAATCAGTGTGGAGGAAGGGATCTTATTTTTTCCTTTTCTCGTATAAAAAGGAACTGCTGTTTCAACAGCCAGCCTTGCTATGGGAAGCTCTGTCAGTCAATCCACTTCACTCCTAGACAGCGCTCCAAAATCCAGCACGTGATTTCTTAATTTAGGGCTGATGCCTGGTAAGCAAGATAACTTGTGGGACAGCTAAAAATCCCTTCCCAGTGCCATATATTGGCTCTGAGCCCACCTCAGTGACACCGCCCTCAATTTTTAGCAGGGTGATGAAGAGCTGGCATGGGTGGTGAAGAATTCCAATCCTTTATCTGTCAGGATGTGGCTGATGTTCAGCCTCGAAGAAAGTCATTATTGCTAAAGGACTCTGAAGGTTCAGTGTCCTTGTAACTAAGGACACTTGAGATTTCTGAGCTTGATTTTATAAATCAGAAAGAAAAATATTGCTTAACATTAGATTTAAGAAATGGAAGTGTGAAGGTTTAATGCCAGGAAGGGCCAGGCCCTCAGTCACCATCTTGCTGCCTAAATATGTCCCCAAAACACCAAGAGACCCCCAGAAATAAAGAAACACAGAGAACAGAAGGAGTGCAAAGAAAAATAAATGTGTATTTCATCTCATGAAGGTTAAATCTCTGGTATTTTTACTGAATGCAAATTTTCCATTCTGATGCTTCGAGGCTTAAATTAATGATCGTGATTATTTAATTTTCCTCCGTTTCCCTTCCGATTGCAACCGTCGCTGTTGTTCTCCACATCACACACGTACAGTTTTTGCAGCTGCCACAGTCTTCCATGTGAAGGTACACGCTGAATCACGCTCAGTGCTTCAGTGTAAAAAGTCTGGGCTACGTCGCTCTCCCGCGGCGCTTACGTAAAACCACCTGTGACCGTGTCACTCAGCCAGTCCCTTGGGACACTACAGGTCATTCCCTCGGCACCCGACCCTATAAAATGTACATTGCACGAAGTCATGGTTGAAAATGTACAGAGGAAATTACACATTCACCAAAAAAAAAAAAAAAAAAAAAAAAAAGGAAAGAAAGGAAAGAAAAAAAAAGAGAGAAAAGAAAAGCCCGATTGCTATTTTACAAGAGAAGAAGGTGTGTATCATTCCATACATACAAAATGTTTTAAAATTGTACATAAGTACCAAAGGCATTATGAGAGATTCTTTGGAGATGAAACGAAAGTGCAAGAAAGCCAAGGCAACAGAGCAAACGAAAGGAAGCAAAGCAGAGCAGCTGTCTTTGCTTTCTAAAGGACAACCAAACTTCCACGCTCAGCCGAGCCCCAGAGTTTTAGGAGCGGGAGGTGAGGGTGTGCAGCACCCACCCCTCGTCCTGGTGTGAAATTCCCCTCTCAGCTCTCACTGTCAGGACAAATGCATGAACCATTTTTAGCCCATTTAAGGCCAAATGAGCCAGATGCTGTTATAAACCATGATAATGTCAAGGTATCTCAGGGAAATGGCAACAAACCCCAGCACTGGATGTACCCCTTGCTTAGTAAACCTATTTAAGACATTTTTCCTTTTTTTTTTTTTCAGCTCTTAAAGCTGAGAATTTTGGACCTAGAGACAAATTTCAGGCCAGTGCAAAAATTTGATTGGTATTTTTTCAATGGCATCCAGCAGTATTTAAATGGAAAATTTAGCTCTTCATGCCTTTGTTTATTTAGATTAAACACCAAAGGGGAAGTTCTACCCAATGTAAGTCTTATATCTGTGAAAATATGGGCAAAATTAAATCCTAGAGGATGATTTATTTGGTGAGGCTGGTGAAATCTCTGAATAGGGGCAATTGGAGTCTGAAGGCTGATCTGCTTGGAGAATCAGATTTTGTGGTTATAACATAGTCATTTCTTCCATAACTCTAAGATCAAAGATGGGCTTTTGATGACTCTTTTCTTAAACACCTCTTAACTAGGGACTTTTCTAAAAATATGTAGGCAAAGGTAAGACCCACAAGGCAGTGGATTCCTCTGCCTGGGCAGTAGCCAGGTTTGTGGGAGACCATGGCACTGCCATCAGCCAGCACTGCTGTTGTGGGACACCCTGTCACAGCATTTAAAGCCTTTGCCCTTGGCTGTCTGATGGCATGGGACAACTGTTTGACCACATATCCTAGGAATGGGCTCTTTGGACTTGAAGTTGGCACTGGCCACTGTATTGTATTTGTTTGTTTGAAAGGAAGCCAAAGAAATCATCATTTAAAGAACTGCATTGCTCTGCTGCATGGCCTGTGCTGCCTTCAGAAGTAAGATTTCTCCTTGGGATAGGAGTCACACATCAATTCCCATTGCAAACCTTCCTTTCCGATAGAAAGACATTATTAAAATAGTCTTTTGGTTTTGTTTTACCCACTCTCTCACCTCCCAAACTGAACTTTTCCCCCTCCTTGTGCATCTCAGATGCAGCTTTATCTGTTTTGAAGCGTGTGCACGTGTTCGTATCCACATGCACGCACAGCAACACGTAGGTGCATGTACACAAACCACATGCACGTATTTCTACAGCCAAAGTTGTGTTGTCCTTTTATCTTGCAGGTTATGACAAAGATAAACTGTGAACTTCATTCAATCTGTACAGAATTTACAGTTCAGATGTATAGCAATGAAGAATATATAGGAATGCAGCAGCTGTTAAGTATTTATGGGCTGTGAGTGTTTGTTTTGTTCCGTATTTTTAAAATTAACATCACAAAGGCAATCCCTTATTTTAGCTTCCTGATAAAAACCTGTTTAAAGAAGCATTCAAATGCAGCAAATTTCTTAACAGGATGTTCATTTTCCTCTTTTCCCAGTTACATTGAGTCACATCACAAACCAGGCAGGTGACACTTTGGTGTCTGTTCAACGCACATACGCTGATTACATGTAGAGATACCTACCAGCATATGGCACATAATGTGCAATCTGTGTGCAGTACACGTGGATAACGTGCCAAAGTGACACCAAGCAAGATAAATTTCATAAATACAATGTCTATATTGGAGAAACAGGAGTACAGTTTTAGTGTGTGGAGCATTGCTGTATAAGAACCGTGGTGGCACCCACCTATACGAATTACTGATAAAAGAATGAAACATTTATAAGAATAATTTATTGAATCTCCTAAAGCATTTGATATACCACGCAGCAACTGCAGCTATGCTTAACATCTGCTCTTGGTTTAAAATAACAAAATCTCTGTCATTTATCAGCTATGTCTGGTTTTGCCTCAGTGTTCCTGAAAGTCTCAGGTACTCTACATTGTGCGTGAATTTTTTTGAGAAAAAGTGAAGAAAATTAAAATTTTAGGGTTTTCTGGGGAGGGAAGAGTAACCAACATGGAAAGGTCTCCATTCTGCCTGCTGACAGGAGCATGGAATAACTTCAGCTCCAGGGAAGATGCTGGACCAGTGTGAACAGCCAGGCAGGACTGACAAAGACCTGCCCCCAGCCTCGATGACTTGTCCTCAGCAAGGCTGAATATGGTGTTTACAGAGATGCTAAAGGACTGAGACCACCATATCCACATCTCTGACAAACCATTTTCATGAGCATCACCGCATATGGAAAACACTGAGTCATGGCCACTGTGTTGGTCAAGTTTAAGGGATTACCAGGAAATGCTGCTTCTGATTTAATGGGAAGTGCCCACAGCATACCAAAGTAAGGAGGCATTTTCCCATTGTGGCCTGCAAGGCTTGTGCTGACCTTTTCTTGTGTGGAGAGGGGAGAAGAGTCAGGTCCCCAGGTCCACAGTCACCAGTGTCAAATGGAGATGAAATTCCAAGGCAGGCTTTGCTGGCAGCATGACATTCAGCCTTGTTTTGGGGTCAGAACCACCCAAACTGGAGATTCTGGCATGGCTTCTACCTGAAATCGTTAGCCCTGCCCTAAAATTATTGGTGTAGCCGCAGGTGAAATCTAGCCTGAGCTTGGCACTGAGTTTTGGAAAGCTTTGCAGCGAGCTCAAGTTTCTCAGAACTAGGCAAACAGATGCTGCTGGAGAAATTCATCTGCAGCTGTATTTACAGGAATTGGGAGAGGGCAAGATGCTTCCAGGTTCACTGGCATCTTTGGAAATAGCACAGCTTGGACCAGCTGCTTTCCAGTTCTCCCCATTATCAAGCCTGCCACGCACAGCCCCATGTATGGGTTGCTAAAGGGGATGGGGGTCTTGAAAACAGCTCCTGCTTCAGGAAGCAAAAGCATCTACAGTGGTAGAGCCTGTGAGCTCTTCTCTGAGATGTTCAGCTGGACAAGAAAACCTGAACTGAACCCTCATCCTTGTTTCACTGCAATCAGCAAGAGCCGTGGGGACAAACCCTAAGAGGGCGCTGCACAGGGGGACAACACAGACTCCATCCCTGGGTGGAAAAGCTCCAGCAGAACAAACCAGGGATGTGTCGAGGCCATGGTGGCTCACTGAGGAAGCAAATAGAATGCCAATAAAAAACCAAAAATGTCATGCTAACAAAACATGAAGGCTCTCTGGTGCATCTAGTGATGTCAGGCCATCAGCAAGTCCCAGTGCAGGCATTACAGCTTCACTGGTAAATAGTATGAATAAGGAAGGTGAGGATATAGGACCAGGGTCAAACTAGATCATGGCAGCAGTGCCAAGAGATACAAGGGACTGCAAACACCAGTGAGATGGGCAAACACTCAAGGCCTCATGACAGTCTGGTATCACAGTGGGGAGAACAGTGGCAAAACATTTATGGACATAAAAAGGTAGCTCAGTGCCACTCCACGAGGAGAGTAAGAGATGCTTCCATGAGGAATGGCTATGGCACAGCTGCAGGGTCCCCTGCAGACCACCAAGGGCTGTAGACAAGGGTGAATGAAATTTTCCAAGAGGGATTTCCAAAGTTCTGGAGTGACATTCCCCCCTACCCCTCGGGCTGTGCTGCAGGTACAAATACACATGCACCCCCAAGCAGGATGTAGGTGAGAGAATCCTATGGAAATTAAAACAGACATATGGCAAGTCCCACACACGTGGGTTCAAATGGCATCTCCGAAATGAAGACCAGTCCTCCATCCTTGGCACTGCCTGCTCCTCTGGACCCTCAGAAAGGGTTATCTGGGATGCTCTTTTTCAGAGGCATCCAGATGGAAATGAGGTTGTTACACACAGCCAACACAATTCATATTTTTTCCTCCCCGTGTACATGTCTGAAGGAACCACAGGTACAAACATGGTTTTTTTACCCCTTAGTTACAAGCAGAAGTGGAGTCTGTGCATGCTGTATCAGAGGGATGGGGTGATGATCGGTTGCAGCATGAAAAACACTCGGTATATCAGTGTTACCTACAGAAGCACCGCAGCACCCTACGAGATGGGTCACTGTGGGGACAGCCTCTCCCCAAAATGATGCTTTTGGCAACGTTACCTTGTCAGGTACTACAGCAATCTGGGAGTGCAGATACAGCTGGAGCATATTGCTGTCTACTCATCTCAGGCTGCATGCAGTAGCAGGCAAAATTGAGAGTACAGTCAGTGAGATAGTCCAGAAAGCACATTCATAGGTTAAAAAGGACCCCGCTGCTACCTAAATTAGAAGCGTGATTAACAGTGTATCAAAAGGTGTGTAATCCCTCTCCCTCTAGACACTAATATAAGGCAAGCAGTATTGTGTCACTGGGGCATCAAACACTAAGATATACTAAAGAAGATTCCTATGCAGTATTATTATCCTTATTATTAAAAACCCACCCTATTGTTATTGTTAAAAAAAAACCCCAAAACCAACAATGAACCCACACCCCTGCTCTAAGCAGATTTTGCTCTGTGAGGCAGAAAATTCGGGGTGTTTGTGTGCTAAAAGCAAAGGTTTGCTTTTACACCGCTGAGCAACAGTGACCCCGTGGGGCTCGGAGGGGCTGCTGCCCTCAGCCCTCCACCACGGCCCTCTGCAGCCTCAATGTTACCTGCAGGTGAAGGAGCTTTTGTATCTGATTTCCTTGTTTCTGGTTCAGGAAAAGGATGCTGATGAAAACAGAAGATGCTGACCTGTGATGGAGAGAGGATGGGAGAAGAGGCAGGAGCACAGCTCTGGTCAGAGGGCTGTGCTGGGAAGAAAGGGTTGGAGGTTCAGGGTTCACTCTCAGCCTGAGGGTTCACATGATGGAGAAACAGAAATCCTTATCCTGCTCCTGGGCTTTTTTAACATTCCCAATAAAATACTCACTGTAAAGGGTCTTCATATGGGATAATGTTTGGGTAAATTCCTTAGGAATTTCAGTTTCTCTTTTAATACTTGACATTTTAGTTTTAGCAATACTGTTGCTGTGACTGAAGTAGTCTGAGGATATCAGGGAAATGAGGTTTCCAGTAACTCCCTCTAGGGAAAAGTATGAGTGAAAGTGTTCTTCTTTTCTCTTGGGTAACTTTCTGGAAGGGGAGCATTTGTATCTGAGGTGATGCTCTGGCTTCTCAGGTAGATAATACAAACTTGTTCTAAAAAGTCACATAATTTAAAATTTTAAAAATCAATTAAAAATGTAAAAATATATCTATTTATCTGCAAATAGTAATGACCCTGCAGAATTTATCTGGATCTATTAGGTAGCATTTGAAATAAAACACATTTTTAGAAAATCTGATCTACCACATAGTCTGCCTAAAGAAATATCATGGCTTTCTGAGCTGGACAAGAGGTTTGGTTTTGATGAGCTCCTTGATAATATTAGCTTCAAAAAGTATTATTAAGAAAATGAGTCAACAAGGAAATTCACATACAAAATCTGCACTGGAGTAACATTAAAGTCCCTTCCCAAATATTGGGAAATCTGACTTATGGCTAGTGCTCTTTTCCTATGTTCGGGGTCACATCATGAAAGGCCACCATGCAACATCACCAGACACATCTCCTGTTCAGAGACATGAACTCCTCAGACCACCTGAACTCACACTTGGACCTGAGGCACCCAAAAACTGACTGTGGGTTCAGGTCCCAGTCCTAGACATTGCTCCATCCCACAGGAGGGGCCAACTGCAGTATTTCTCTCCAGATCTAGACCCAGATTCTGAAAAAAAACCAAAACCCACCCAAAAGCTTTTTGGAGGTGTGTCAGAATTTCTTTGATATGAAGCCACAGAAATAGGTGGAATAAATCTTACACTGTCCAAAAAAAATTCTATATGAAATATGTAGCAACCAGATATGATCTGTGCTGCATATGTATAAACCCAGTTTTCTGCAATCAGTGATTATGGGACAAATCCAACAACTTTTAAAGATACACATTAAAAGATCTGTTTTATAGACTCCAGTGTAGTAAGCTGAGGAGGGTAAACTCAATTCTTCCTATGCAGTCCCTGAAGATGAGCTTTAAAGTCCCTTCCAACCCAAACCATGCTATGGCTCTATGAATCTATGATTTTGTGATTCTGTGATTAAAGGCCAGTCGTGTACCTGTGCTGCAACAGGACTGCATGACATCATCCTCCTCTGGCATTCTTGTCTTTGTATCATACCCTTCTGTGACAAATTTCCAGCAGGCCTTGAAAGGTAATTGCAAACAAATAAGATAATAAATCTGTTATCTCTGACTTGGGCAAAATTTGCAGTAGCAGCTGGATGGAGCAATGTTGATTTTTGCCTCACCTAATGCAATTTCTATTCTTGTGGGCAATAGAAAACACAGGCCACCAAGTCTGATTTAGGACCCGCTGACACTTCTTGTTCTACCAGAAGGCATCTCATTTTTGAACATGCCACAAGCAAATCTATGCAATTTACAGCCATTTGGCATTTAAAGTTGTCTCTGTGTGAAAGTCAAGGGCATCACTGCTTTCACTCTGCACAAAGGAATCTGGAGCCAAAAGGAGTTTTGAAGCACAAACAGAGAGAGAAAAATTGCAGAAGTTAGCCAAAATATGGCTCAAATGGGAAAGAAAGGAAGTAGCATGGCTGGAAGCCCAGGGTCCCCCTAAGAAAAATGTTTTCCCCTCCTGAATGGTGAAAAATGGCAGGAAAAATTGTGCAGAGCCTTTATTCCCCTTCCTCAGTTCATGTGAGGACCTGTGAGAGTTGGTCCTGGGCACTAGCAAAAGAATGGTTTTATTTCCTGTCTGCAAACTGTCAGACTGCACCCACACCTTCCCTAAAGCCAAAATCATCCTGGGTCTCTCCTCCTTACTCTGTCTGGTCAAGCAAACAGGTGGAGAGAAAGAGGCTGTGAATCTCCCTTCAACCCAAAGTGAGTCAATGTTCAACCTCTCAAAGGCCACACAGAAATGAAACTGTCACCTAAATATCCTTATCGGGTTCCTGATATGACACAGGGGAAATGTGGCGAGACAGGGTTTGAAATCACAGCCACAGCCCCAGCAGGAAACACGGGTGGGGTTTGGGCTGTGAAAGCACAGCAGGGTTCAGAGGCACAATGCCAGCCGTGGTGTCCCAGCCCTGGAGACAGATCCCAAACACGACCTCTCCTGATCCACCCCCTTCCAAAAAACACCACCAACCTATCCGTGTGAAGGATCACTTTGTGACTTGGTTTTGGTCCCAAAAGAGACTTTGAGCATCACTTTTCCCCTCGCCTTCCCGCAGCTGAACGCGCCGCTGAGGTTCCTGCTAATGACACAACGATCCTTCCAAAAGGAAGTACTTGAACAACAATGAAACAGGGCAGACTTGGATTGGCACAACTCGCAGGCAAGCATGGCTAAGAGGCTTCTGAAAGACCATGAAGAAACAAACCATGAAGAAAACCTCTTAGCTCAGCTTGAGGGATCCAAACAAACCAAAGGATGTCCCGAGAACATGGGTGTGAGTTTCTTGGCAGGATGGAAGAAGAAAGGGAAGATTTTCACAGGCATAAGTGTGTGCAAAAGTGTTCAGGCACGATGCAAACTGTAAGAAAAGTGCCCATTCTGACCAACAGGGCTTCCAAAGGATGGAGCTCAGCAGCTCGCAGCAACACGGGGACCACAGAATCCTGCACATCCACCCTCTCCCTTTGGCCTGGTGGCTGTGCCTCCACAATGGCACTGCTGGCCATGAGAACAGCTTCACACCATGGCAGCCTTCCAGAGGGGTTGCCTTTGGTTTCTCTTTGCTTTCAAAGCACCCCCAGGTCCCTTATCAGCAGGAGGAGAGATAATTAAATATAATACATGGCTTAAAACAGAAAATTCCAGCCCTGCAGTGTCTTGTTCTCCTTCTGTCTCTTTTCTCTGCCCCCTGGATTGTCCCTCCTCTTGCACTCAAGATCATAGTTCTGAGTTTTTCAGTTTCCTAAGATGGGATAACCAAACTGTTCTGGTCCAGAGTGGTATCCTAACCTGTCCCACTCTGAGGCCATGCCTTCTGCTCATGCAAATATCCCAGCCACCATCCCTCTCCTCCAGGAGGAAATGTGCCTCTATGCCACATTTCCATGTATTATATTGGAATTATGCCACCTTCCTGATGGCTAACGAGGAACCACAGAGTAACAACCCCCTGTAATTACACGTGACCTGAAATCTAAGCCGGAAACAATGCGTTCATTCCAAATACCAAAACACCTGAAGGTGTAATCACCGGTGCCATGACGTAGCAGCTCCCACCTGACACTTGCCAGCCACCAGTTACTGTGATCTACAAAAGCCCTGGCTGGGTGATTTGCTCCTGCCCTGGGCTTCTGAAGATTCTCCCAAGAAATGCAAATTGCCTACCCTGCGCCATGAAATAATTTCACCTAATGATCTTAGAAAGAGAGTATGAAAGAAATCTGGACTTCACGGCTCCAGTTCGCCCACCACCGTGACCTCTTCCACAAACGCAGGCTCGGACCTGCTCGTTCTTCCCCCCCAAGAGTAAGCTGCAAGAAAGTATCTGCCAGCTAAGGATGTCCTAGAAGGAGGAAAACCTTAGCTGTCAATCTCCTTGAGAAGTTCAACACGTGGACAGCTGGAGCGGGCAGCTGCCAGCGCTTGGACGTGGCTCGGCGGCTGCAGGAAGGCTTCACTGCCGGGGCGCTGACCAGCCCATGTCACTGAAGGGTCCCTCGCCCGTGGCCGACCTGGGAGGGGGACCACAGGGCGTGCAGAGGTCAGAATCGGTGTCTGACTCCCCTTCTGCAATGTAGGGTCTGATTTTGGCCACGGCTGCATAGCAACCGTTGTTAAGGATGTCCAAATTCTCTTTGGACTGGGAGATGCTAAAGCCGCTGAAAGAGCGCTCCAGTTCCTCGTGGTCTACCGAGGGGATGGAGATGGACGTGTCGCTGTCTCTCATGGCACTCTCGTGGTGTTTGGTTGTAATGTCTTCGTTCCTCAGGTACTCTGCGCTCGCCCTGTGCCCACCGCTGTACAAGGAGCGCTCGTGGGAGGGCGGAGGTGGGATTCGGACCAGCGAGCCGGGGTCTCCGACGGGAGAGGAGCCGTGGCTTTGCCGCTGGCACGACGTGGAGGGCGGGCATGCGTTGGTTGGGGCTGGTGGGGCGGAGAAGTTCTTCTGACCCATGGAGCTGGTGGACCTGATGATCTTGATGATGCAGCCGTTCTTGTCAATGTGCTCCCTGCTGTCTTCGGGGCTGTGGTAGGGAGGTGCTGGGTCTGGTTCTTTGGACCCAAAATAAGCCTCTGTCTCTGTCGGTGGGATGCCCATCCGCTGCATGTAAATGTTCACCAGGAAGTCCAGCTTCTTCTCCATTGACTGGACCTGCAAAACACCACAGTTCCAGTGCCACATGCAGGCTGAAGCACATTAACATCCTGAGTACAAGCAGCTTCCATCAAGGAGCAAGTGTGGGGCTGGGCTTCATAGATGACCTCTACCTACGCTGACCCACACCACCTCAAACCCTTAGTAAATATTTACTTGTCCTGTTCTCCAGGTTTAATTCTCCACCGTGTTACAGGGTTTCCCTTGTTACAGGGTTTTCCTCATGCTCCTATAATCTTTGTGGCAGGCACCAAATTACAGAAAAGCTGAAGCACACCTGCATCCTTCCAGCTCCTTCCTGCACTTGGCACTTGTCTGGGCTCAAATGGCCATGGGGATTTCTAAGCCTTATCCTCCAGGAAGATTTTAAATCTTCAGCAAGGCCATCAGCTACAGCAGCCAGGCTCAGGGACTCATTTGAAATGTGTCTAGTGTGGTGGCAAAGAAACCAATGTGTTGTTTTCAGAAATAATGTAGACTTTTGACAAACTCACCAAAAGAGAAAGACTATACATCACAGACTCCGAAATGCCTGTTTGAAAGTGGCATTTAGGCTTCTAAGACATTTAGTGACCTTTCATAACATCCACCTTCCTTCTTTCTCCAAATATTCTTGGCTCTTTTTTTTTTTTATTACGAAATGGTAATGTCCCACTCAGGAAAAAAGGCACGAGAAAATCAGCACAATGCATGCAACACCCTCTGACAAGAATCCCCTCCTGACCCAATATACCTGCTTTTCAACTTTTCCAAGCCTGCCCATCATGCTGGGGTCTTCAGGCAGCTCCCCCTCCGCTGGCCCTTTGGTCCGATCCTTGTCAGTCATGGAGGATCCTCTCCCAACGATCTGGTCAACTCTACCGGGATCAGAAAATCCCCCCACCCCCGGAAAAGGACCTGGAGTCAGTTGGAGGCAGCAGGCGAGGAGGGCTCCGCTTGTCGCGCCTCCGTGGGACAAAGCAACAGCCTCTCTCCCAACTAGCACTCCAAATTACTCACAGACACGCAGTGGCACTGAAGTGTTAATTCAGATGCAAAATTCAGAGCAGTATTAGCAGAGTTTGAAATTATCCATTTCTGTTCATACAGATAAAAACCTGGCACATTATGCACAGTAAATTTACCCACTGCAAAGAATTTCTTTAACTGGCTTTCTTCCAAATCAATTAACTCCTTATTTGTGCTGAGAAATTAATATTTTGGGGGGAGATCAAGTTTTCTATCTAATATGTACCAATGGGATTTTTTTCAGTCTCTGCAGCAGTTTCCTCTCCTCAATGCAGATGCACGTGTGTAATTCTCATGTCTGTGAAAACCAGCCGCTTGTCCTAAGATCCAGACAAAGAGGTGCTGTTTTAGTGGAATTACATCAAGGCCATAACTCACCAAACACCACCAGATTGTTTTCATCTCAATGATACTGCAGTTCACACCTGTATCAGATGTTTTCTATCAGCAGAGCTCCGAGCTGGGAACAGCAGAGGATACTCCTGCCAAATCAGCAGCTAAAGGTACAGGTGTTAACTTCTTTACACACGTCACATTTGCACCTCCTCATTCCCAGTATAGATACACCTGGGATGATATACAGCTCCATAAGAAGGGAGGGAAGAGCCAGTCTGGAAGCTGGAACTCAGTTTTATTTGAGGCAATATAAATTTTCTTGAGAAGTAAACACAGTAGCTTTTTGATCCCTCAAAAGTCATGGGAGCCACTCAATTTTGGAATAGCTTCCTAGTGGCAGGCTGGTTTACAGCCTAATTCTATGCCAGGCAAACTTTACTCTTGCATAATGCACCAAAAGTAAGGGTGGCAGGGGAAAAAAAGGGTTAATTAATCTGACTGAAACCAAGTTGAGGTATCTTGAGCGAAAACTCAAAATGCTTCTTACGCAGTTCTGCCATGTGGGCCATGGGTCCATGCACCAGGAGGAGGAAAAGGAAGGAGCTGAACACAGACAGACAGGGGAAAATGAACAAACAAAAACCAAGGAAAGGAATGAGACGTGAGGCTATTTCCAACACAAGAGCCATCTGTTTTCTTTACATTTGACAGGGACTTCATACGTAATGTTGGCTGTTTGACATTAAGGGACAGGTATCAGTGGGTATGGACCAGCGTGGCTCCCTTAGCTTATATCAGAGCAACAGCAGTTTACAGCCCCAGCTCTGGCTCAAAGAGATGAAGTGGATGAGCACATCACACCAAAGACAGAAAATATAAGCCAACAATTATTTCAGAGTTTAGCTTTGATCCCAGAAGACACTTCCTTTGGGCAGGGATGCGACAGAATACTGTTCTGCTTAAAAAGCCATGTTTGATCCTTTGCTTAGCAATATAAGCACAGGAGTACAAGGAGCACCAAGTGCTGTAATTACAAGTGTGAGGAATACGCATGCCTTATTTCTCTCTTGTAATGGGAGAAGGAAATTATTAACAGATACAGGAACTCCCCACAAGGGATGCAATTACTGACATGACATACAGCACAAGAAATCCTATGACAATGTCGTTACCATGTAAGCAAAGAGCTGTTAAATTGGATACCTCGGGCTACCTTGGTTTGGAATCACAAGTCAAGGCGTGGTACAGCCACTGTACGAACTCCTCTCCTGTATGCACAAGCAAGTAGACTTGTAAAACAATGAACATGAGTTTAAAGAGGCCCAAAGTCTAAATGCCACTGGATGCTGCAGAAGGCCAAGAACAAACGGGGTGCTCTGTCCTCCTGTCCCATCCAGCACGGCACTGACACTGATATATGTCCACTAAAGGAAATGAGATGTCCCTCAACAGTTGCTGAGTAGAGCAGGGAGGCAGGACAGACTGTAACACAGAGAGGGAAAATGAATGTTGCATTGTAATAACAGAGATAGTCTTGTGCAACCCTAATTATCTAATCTTGCAGAAAGTGAGGCAGAACTTCTGCTCTCTTCCATGTCTAGAGAGAAGAGCTATCTGGTAAAGAAACCTCACACAGCCCATTTCAGGGGCCAGCTGGCACTTCACAGATAGAATGATCATTGACTTGTCCATCCCCTTCAGGCTGGACACAGCTTGCCTCTAGACCTGCTGTGATTTAGGGGCAGGACTGAAGTCATTCACAGAGCTCATTCATAATGCACTGAGAAGCATTTTCTCATAACTATTGACACCAGAGCCCAGAATTCCTGCTTGATTCATTCCCTTTGTGTCTATACTTGAACACAGCCCTGTCTCCTGGTCATCTTCCACAGCTCTGAGGAACCAGAGGGACAGATCTGGCCTTGGGGACAGGTCAGCACCGAGGATGATGTGAGGGGCAGCTTTTGGACACTGACTTCAGCGCAGAGAGGGGAGAAGAAGGTGAACCAAGTCCTTCTCTCTTGATGGGAGAAACCAGGCTCAAGGTCTCCCACCCCTTTTCTTCCCATGGCTGAAGCTGGACCACAGAATGCTCCAACCCTCAGCAAATAGCAGAGATTTCATTTGTGCCTTATCTGATGTAAGAGAAAAGAAGAAATTCCCTATGAGCTCTCAACCCACCTGTACCTAGCTGAGGACTGCCAAGAGCAGGAGGTCCTTTTAGTCATTGTAAGATTTTGATTTTTTTTCCAAATTGGGCCATGAAGCTCGAAAGATGAAGAAGAGAGATGGTTTTCCACTTTTGCAAGCAGAGGGGGAGAGTTTATGTTCTTACTGTGTGACAAAGGGCCAAGAATCTTCTGAGATGGCCATTCCACTTCCACAAAAAACCATGTGGGGAGCCTTCTGTCCTCTCAACACTGTGACATACACTGCCAAATACACACGTGGAGAGGGAATAACTCAGCTGAAGCTCTGGCAGAGTCAGCCCCATGTTTCTCCTTTCCTAGCAGAAGAGGATTCAGAGATTTCTAAGGATGCGTGACAAACTGTGCCATCTGCTGTTCTTGGTAGGCTCTGCTGGGTCTTAGTTTGGGAGGGAGAGAGACAAGGGGATTGCTCTTTAAAGTGAACTTTGCTATCTTCCCGTCTTTCTAATGATACAAAAAAAATGTAAAGTCTTGCATCAGCCACAGTGCAGGTTTTCTCATGCTTCATTATGCTTCATGCTAACAGTGCATGCAAAGAGGTGTAATATGTCACCCTCGGGCCAGAAGCAGACATCAAAAAGGTCAAACGGCTCAAATGAGATAAAAATGAAGTGTTTGGGAATATCTATTCAGGTCTTTTCTTTTTTTTTAACTTTATCTCTTATAAATTTTTGTAAACAATCCAGGCATTGAAGCCAAACCCCCTTCATCCATGTCACAGGACTGGCTACTTACCCTTTCATTTGGCAACAAAGTTTGCTCTAAACAAATTTTGATCAATAAGTGTTGTCTAAAAAATTACAGCTGAGATTGCACCTACTCTAAGTTAAACCAGCTGATCAAGGGAATTTTATCCAAATTGTCTGTGTGTACAGCACGGAGCAACCACCGTCAGCCAAACCACAACCGTGGATATCTACCAGGATCCAGGTGCCTTTGCTGGGATGTACTTGCAGAAATCTTGTGGCTGAACTGAGCCCTTGTCACTAGAACAATCCACAGGGTTGAGACAGCTCTTGGGACATCACTTTGTCTTGTTTCTCTGGGCAGAATTTGTCTAAAACAGGGCTAAAAAAGGAGAGGCCGGTGCCATCCATGAGGGCATCCCAGCATGAGTCCCCATGGCACAGACCCATGTGGTGCTGAGGGGATGAAGGTCATGGCAGCAGCAGAGCTTGACCCAGAGCTTTTGGATTTGGGCTTGCTGAGAGCTCTGGTTCCCATCCATCAGGCACCCTAAGCACCTCACAAAGTCCCACTGGTGTCTGTGGGAGGACGCAGCTGCCGAAAATTAAGCACAGCATACGCCTTTTAATGGGTGGGAGCAGAGATTTCAGCAGCCTTCTGGACTCTGCTGTTTTCTGCAGCCACAGCTTGATTAAAGGAGGAATGAAAAAAAAAATTCATTGGAAAAGGGAGCAATTATTAAAATAAAAGTCTAAATGTCCCAGGAGCATAGTGGGCATGTGCAAACAGATTTTTAATCAGTCTTAGAAACTGTAAAAATGGGGGGAGAGAAAGTCATTAACATGAAGCTGACACAGCAACAGACTTGGATTCAATAAAATAAATATCCCAGTCTGAGGCCTCCTCCCCTCATATCCAGCAATCAACTCTTCTCTGTGCAAGGCACAAGCTTTCACATGAAAATCTTGCCCCTAGTAAGGCTTGTTGCACATATAATCTTACAGGTTAAATACAACAAAATCCACTTGAATATGAATTTTTATTTTAAAATCTAAATGTTTCTGCAGATAAGAAGGTTATTTCATTTTCAGATGCTAGTTTGAGGCCTCATCATTTGGCAGGGAGGAAAAATGGGAAAAAATGCTTTTCTGAGATCATCTTTTTTTTTCAAGCATAAAGCTTGGGGCTTCTGGAAAATTCTCTTTTTTAAATGTTTGAGCTAGCTGAGTGGGTAAAGGTAAGCTTTCAATATTCCTTTTACTCACATTTCTCTAGCAAAGATTACTCAGAGCAGCTTAAATAAAAATCAAGAGATTTGTCACATATTAGCGCTTAGGGAGGTAAATATATTTAGAAAAAAAAATATTTGAGGCTAAGCTTGCTGCATTTAAGAATCACCTACTGTTTCTGCATGGAAAATTACTTTCTGGCAAATATTTGTACCTCCCTTGTGCTTCAGTGGTATCAATGTAAGGTGAAAATACAGCCCAGTCATGGCCTTGCTGCCCAGAACTCAGAATGCCCTAAAATGGGAATTTAGGTGAGAATATGTTCCTCATGGCTTGAGATTCAGGTGTGGTTTTATTTAAGGAGAAAACTTAATGAGAAACATTTCACTGAGGGCTGGGTTTGACTCCTGCTCTTTTTCCTTGGAAAATCGGGATTTATTTATATTTTCAATGTAAGTCCTATGGTTGTAATATTTTAACATAATTTTTTCCTCCATGGTCAGTAGAGTGGCATCAGCAAGAAACAGAGATCACTGTGTTCATCAGCTACAAAACACTTCATTCTTACTTTGTGGGTAAATATTCCACCTTTCACACCTGAGGATAGCCTGACAAAATATGAGATGTCAAAAAGATATAATTTAGCCTTCTAACACCTAGAAGAAGATTGAAAATAGAAAACACACTCTCTGAAGGAACTGATGGTTATTGATGAGTGCACAAATGTCCCTTTTTTGTTTTCCTTTGGCTTGCCTGGTGTGAAAGCTCATCACTGAAAGCAAATCAGAGCCCACCCAGAGTAGCAAGCCCTCTGTGTTGTGCTTTCACAGGCTGCTCTGCTAAGTGACAGATGCCGTCATATAACTGGCATGAAAGGGGTTTGACCTTAAGCAAATGAAAAAAAACCCAGAGAAAGCGGCATTTTGGTGAGTCCTAACCTAGGCGAGTATTGGGGAGACTCTTTGGAAGAATACATGGGTCCTTTGGTTGGATACTTCTTATGCCGGGGAGTTGAAGGGGGTGGGGGACCCACAATCATATCTATCCTGGCAAAGTAAATAAGAGAAAAGACACCAGCAAAATGCATAATGAAGCAACACGTAGAGAAAAGTTGGTCAGAAAAGTCACAGAAAGAAACAACTGAAAAACAGAAAGACAGAGAGAGAGAGAAAGATAGAGAATTTGAAAATATATTCTGCTGGAAACAGAAGGCTCTCTCCTACCACCTGGTTGTTGGTGTCTTACCCACCTCAGGGTAAGATTTGGAGATTTAGGCACCACCGCCACATCATTAGGAGTTCCCCCCGCCCCAGATACAACAGGCAACATGCTTTACCCTCTGGAATATATTTGCACATGTGTGGCAATATCCCATTGAGGTGGCTGGATATGAAACAACATATTATTCATTCTCCTTTCAGTTGCAGGGCTAGAGAACACATCCTCAGCTAGCTCAGGAAAGCACGAGCTGTTGGGAGTCGGCGAGGTGCGCTGTGGGATTGTACAGCTCAATGAATGGGAGACATCCATGGCTGGCGAGGTGTCAGGATGAAACACGAGACAATGTGAACACAACACTGAAAAGAGCACATTGCACACACAGTGACAGAGGCTTTCATGATTAAAGAGGAAAGTGCATGTAAACACCCCAGAAATATGCTTGAACGCAGCTTTAATCCACCAAAGCTCTGGCTACGGGAGGTCACAGCCAGCCCTGCCGAGCTGAGCTGGCAGGGAGAACACAGCTCTTTGACTGATGAAGGAAAAGGGAATTTAAATATCTGTTCTCCAAGGTGCCCTGTGACAAACCTCTCTGAGATCCACTGTAGGGGTGCACGGCCCTTGTGCTGGTTGGTCATGAACCAGCTCTGGTCACGGCCCAACACTGGCCATGGCCACCCCAGGCACACACCTTGTCTACAGGGTGCCCTGCCAGATGTACTGGGCAGGTGACCAGACATGGGACCTCTTGGATCCCAGCTGGTTATGATGATGAGGACTCCAAAGGGTGGCCCCAAGGGGATCTGCTCCCATCACCATCACTGATCTCCCCACTCAGTGGGAACTGGTGAAGCTGCCTGGGAGCCTTGGATCCCAAATCCGAGCACTTCACACTTTCAAAGCAGCTCCTGGTCCTCCTGACTTCCCTGTGATGGGATGGGTGGCAGCCCTAACCTCATCCCGTCTCAGAACCTCATCCTCACAGCCCCACGGGTATATCTAAGAGGAGAACTCAGTTTGGTCTTTGAAACCTGCAATTCCTTACCCCAACTTCCCAGGAGAAAGCAGCCAAACAAACTACTCTGGCTTTGCAGCACACCACCTTGAAAGCTTGGCAATGGGAGACCTGGGTGGGCAGTGAGGCAATCTGCCACATCAGCTTGGGTTGAAAATTCAGGTGTCCTGCCCTGGAGCCAGCAGAGGTGACAACCCCAGTGCTTGGGTACCCACTGCAGAGGCAGCTTGGAGATCTCTTGCTTCAGGTTATTAAAGCTTTGAAATATCAATCCCCTCCTCCTCCTCCTCTCCTCCCTCCATATTCAACTACACATCTTGGATCTATAATCAGTGAATCCGTACTGAACGGGAGTGAGAGGCTCAGAGAGAGGAAATTCTCCAGGATATTTTAGTCTCCATCACGAGGGAAAATGCACCTTCTGGGAAATGCACAGTGTGCAGCAAGGCTGAGAAAGTTACCTCTGTGCCTTGAATATCAAAAATAGCAGAGTTAAAATGGTCTCTGAGAGATTCATGGCAGAAGAGAGATTCCTCTTTTTCCCCAGACAATTTTCCTGCTTCATTCCTGGGGTTCATATTAGCTGCTTGCATACCCAAATGCATTTTTTTTGCACATTTTCTGACTCTACCAGGGACCTAGATGAGTTTGAAATTAAAGGAAAACTTGCTCAATGGATTCCAGATGAAGCTGGGCAGCCACAGCCATCAAGAGAAATAATTTCATTCTCCAAATGTAAAAGTAAATGGTGTATTATTTTGACAGGAGGTTGCCTATGGCCAAGCCCTTTCACTGTTCTGGTTGTCCTTCAAGATCAGCAGAACTTCTGCTGAGCTGACACAGCTGTGGGTGATGGGGGTTTGGGGTCTCCTTTTAAGTGTGGGCCACCAGGGCTGAGGGAGGAGTGGCCAGACAAAAAGGTTTAGCTCAGATCCTCTGTTCAGGGGATCGAATTTATCTGGTTTGTTGCTTTTTTTTTTTTTCCCAGGAGAAAGATGAAAAAAATAGAACCTTCTCAGTTCTATCTGTGCCCTTTTCACATTTCTTCTGCTATTAAAATTAACATGTCTCCCCCTAAAATCTGAGCGCAGAAGTTAAAATGCAGCTCAGCTAAACCCCACCTACATTGGTGGGCTTGGATGAGAAATCCCCATCTGCCCAGATTTTTGGCAGACTGTGCCATCTGAGGAGGGATCCCTCCAAAAACAGCTTAGCATCCCAATAGTGGGAAGAAGCTGCTGCCTTCTCACTGCTCTCTCTGTCTGTGGCCACAACCAGGGCATCAAATTTTTTCTTATACCACTCCAGAAAGCTACCAAAGGACCCACATTTGCCTTCACACTGGGGCACAAAACCTTTGCATCCCGGACCATGGAGATAGGTACAAACCTTACCTATGGGATATGCTACAATGCCAAAAGCTCCTGAAGTAAAATAGGAGGATAAACCATGATTTTTGTATTCCTGTGGTGGGCAGTAAGGTAGTGGCATAACACCCCCTTTTTGCAGTCCCTGTCCTGCTCATCCCTGTGGGTTCCAGCCACAAACACCGAACGTTTTCCTCGAGGATTTCTCTTAGAAAGGAAAAGAATAAGCTGTAGCTGCAAAGGAAAGCATCTCTCTCATGGCAATACCTCTACAGTGAACAAAAACTAGTGAAAAATGAAGCAAAGAGAGGGGTCTCTTGCCTGGCCTGAAGGTTTTTAATCCGGGAGAGCATGTCCAGATGACCAGCTGAATACTGCTCGATGACATCCATCACGTCGTAGGGCCGAAGGCTCTCCTTAAACTTGCGTTTGGAGACGAGGAATCTCATAATGCTGCAGGAGATGGAGAGGAAAATCAAAATATGGTCCCTGGGCTGAAGCCTGACCTGCTTAATGGCAGATAAAAAACACTGCAGGGAGCTGCTTTGGAAGGAAAATGGAATAAATCCCAACCCTGCGGGTTTGGGAGAGGATGCAGCAAGAGGAGAGGGGAAGGGGATTGCGGGGGCTGGTGGCTGAAGCCCTGTCTGCAACGGGGGGTCCCTGATGCCCCTTGGACTGTCATCTGTGCATGTGCTGTCTGCATCACTTTTATAAATGTCAGCGCTAAATCTCAGAGCTGGTGAGAACGATCATTTGGACGCATCCCTGCGGGAGATTTTCCTGTTTCTCCATTTTTTCCTTCCCTAAGCAAAAATTGCCCTTTCTGGCAAAATTTTCTGTAAAGCAGGGCAGGCCACCCAGGGGAAAAACAGCCTGCAGCACAGACATGTCAGCATTTGTCACCACTCCTTGGGCTTTACATTTCTTGTTTTTCCCTATTATTTACTTCCCCAGACCGCTTCCCTCCCCTCCCTCTCTTACCACACTGCCCTGATGCTGACTTTCAGCCCTGGTGTCAAATCTTCTGTCACAAACTCGCAGTTGCAGCTTTTGTTCTCATCGGGGATGTCTTCTCCAGGGAGGCTTGCTTCTGGGTTTGGGAGAGGGAGGAATAAACACAGCACGTTACCGTTTCCCGTGCTGGTGTCGCACAAGGCAAGACGAGTCACATCACAAACAGCAACCCCAGGGCAAGCACCAGAGATGCCTTCGCTGGGCATCCAAACGAGAGCATTTCCTGAGATGTGTCCAGGTGACATTCAGCAATGCCAACTGCAGCTTTCATCCATCTCTTGATCAGAGAATCACAGTAACATTTGGGTTGGAAAAGCCCTCTAAGAGTCTCGAGCCCAAACATTACCCCACCCCCAACCAAGATCAACCACTAAACCATGTCCCCAAATGCCACATGTGCATGTCTTTTAAATCCATCCAGGGTTGGTGACTCCACCACTGCCCTGGGCAGCCTGTGTCAGGGTTGGACCATCCTTTCAGTGAAGAAATTTTTCCTAATATCCAACCTAAGCCTCCCTTGGCACAACTTGAGGATGTTTCCCTTTGTCCTAAAGGCTGGCTCTTCCTCCTTTTCCTTTTCCTATATATGGAAATATATACATTATCATAGGTGTCAGAAGGGGTTTTGTTGCCTCTTGTAATCATCACTGAATGGTTTAAATTGGAAGGGACCTTCAAAGGCCATCTAGTCCAACACACCTGCAATAGCAGGGACATCTTCAACTAGATCAGGATGCTCAGGCTCCTCCAAGCTAAAGGACTGGGAGGGGAAGGAGATCCACGTAAGCGCTTTGGCTGGCACCTCCTTAGCTGGGGAGGGAGAGGATGTCAGGGCCAGCTGGGAATGTGAGGTCTCTCACAGTGCCTCAAACCCTCACCTTCTGAGTTCTGCCGCGACGCCGCTCCCTTGATGCGGAAAGCTTGCCGGGCTCGGCTGCGGTCTCCGAAGCTCCAGCTCTTGGGCACTTTGCTCGGGCTGTCCTCGATGCTCTGGTCAGCGCTGGGGGACCTCCTGATGCCCTGAGCCTGTGGAGAGCCTTTCCCTTTGGTGCCAGCACCGCGGGGACTGGAGAAGACACGATCTTTCAAACTGACCTTCTGACTGTTCAGAGAAACACGTTGAAACAAAGACAAAAAGGAGACAGCAGGAGGAGTCATTCTGGAAACCACGCAGTCCTTCCCCACCAGCCATTAGAAACCAAGAGCACTTCCAAGCAGCAGTGACATGTAGTTTTGCTGTTGGCTTTTTTTTTTTTGCTTTTTTTTCCAATATATGTATTTTTTGAAGAGAAAGTTTTGTAGAGATGTTTCCGTCATCATGAGTGAAATGGGAATGATTCTTAAGAGAGAGAAAATAATGAGGACTTAAACAGAAGCCCCTTGTGGGATGCCAGGGCTGGCGGGACAGAATGACATCAACAATGAGGTTATGATTCCTTAAATCACTGATCGGCTCCGATCACGAGGTAGGAAGCTTTTCTTTCACAACTGCCTTCCAAAGCACTATGTCTAGTAAGAAAATACCAATAAAAAAAATATCCCCCATTATCTTATAAATTTTAACTTCCATGGAAAAGCTTCGCTTCTGGTGCTCAGACCTGTCCTTTCCCTTTCTTCAACTCCTGCATTTCCTACCCTCTCAAAACATGATCTGCCCCTTTCATATCTTCCTAAGAGTTCCTCTTTATCCAGTCATATATTCAAACACTTAAATACAAACACTAAATGTGCAACTCCTTCATATCCTATAAAAATTCAATCTAAAAGCTGCAATCTCCCTGAAGGTTTGCTACGGGTGTCATAAACATGCAAAGCAAAACTTTATAACTTCAGAATACAGAATTTTATTGCTTTTTTTCCGGCTAGAATCCTTGGATTTATGGTTTGACAAAAAGCTCTCTGCAGAAACGGAGATGAACTCACTGGGAAACTGTCTGCTGGCCACCCAGCTCTAATTAGTTTCCAAATTCTGAAATTTGTAATTAAAACCTTTCACTCAAACAAAAATGACAAATTTTCACTTGAAAATTGCAGAACAAAGAGACTGTGTGAATCATTACAAAAGGGCAGACTTTATAGAGACAGCATTGGGGAAAACAAACTGCAAATAGTTTCGGATCATTTAATATTTTCTCAATAGCAATAATTAATGATTAAGCTACACTGACAGAAGTTGGATAACCAGTGCGTCGTACCTGCACACAGAGCCAATATTTTATATACAGGTATATCCAAACTGAGTGAAAACAGGGATTTAATTCCCAACACTCTGTACCATCACAGCAACCACTTATCATTTTGCTGCAAACGCTCTGCCTGAATTTGCAGGAAGAACACTTGAGGAACTTCGATTTCCACATCCGATTTCCAGCTCACCAACCAAAAACCTGCTTTTGTGTGTGTGTGTGTGTGTGTCTTTCAGTAACACCACCTTAAAACTCAGAGCCAAACAGTCCTCCTTTGCCTTCAAAACTGGCACTGGGCTCTTCAATCAGAATTTGGCTGCTGGTTTTTGAAGGAAAGCAAAACGCAGCTCCCTCTTCCCAGCCGCCGGCTGTTCTCTGCTGACAGGAGCAGACACACTCTCTGGCCAGTAAAGGAAGAAGACGTGACCCGAGGACACTCAGGGAGCAGATTTGTCGAGTAAGAAGGTGCTATTTTTACAAAGTCACTTCACATTGCCAGACAACAAACATTTACAGGGAGAGAAAGGTGCTTAGGCAGCAGTTTGCAGAGTAGCATCCCCTGTGCTGCAGGGCAGGGTGAGCTGTGGCCATGGGCTCAGCAGCAGCTGCAGATTGAGAGATACATTTGAGAGAAAATATGCTCATGACCAAGGAAAGGCAGAATTAATCCAATTAATGATGAATTATTAATTCAGATAAGTGCTGGAGACTGAATTCCCAGTGTGGGTGCCCACCTGCAGGGGCAGTCTGAAAGCCATGGGACCATCAGACCTTCAGCAGAGCTGAAATTAAGGTCAGAGGTACAAATCCACACTGGAATCTGGGAGCAAACACGTGCCTAAATACCTTTCTGGATGTAAGCCTTAGCCACTAATGCTACCAAAATTACTGTACATAATGGGCCAAAGGTTTAAAAGCAATTCTCATTCTGTGTTTATTGGATTAGAAACCAGATTGAAATTTTGTCACTTGATCATAAATAGGCCAATTGGATTTTTTTCCTTTATTTTTTGTTGATTTTACAAAAGAATATTTCTTGAATTCATTGAGTTTCAGTAGTACTAATACTTTGAATTACCTGGTCTTTTTTAAAAATACATTTTATAAAAAAGCATCATCAACACAGAAATATTCAGAATTCAAAGCAACCTCTTTGTGCCTCATCCTCTGCTGTGTTGCTCCCATCACCGATCACAGCATAAAACCAGTTGCCTTTCACTGAGTAAAGCAGGGCCTTTTCCCTGGGGACTTTTTCCCATTCCCACAATAAATGTGCTGAAAATGTTTGCAGGAATCACAAAAGGTAAAAAAGAAAGAGTTGAACTCTGTAAGGGATATGAGCAAAGAATTTCCAGCCTGACAGCACAAGGTGCAACACATTAAAAAATCTCAAAGAAATCCACAACTAAAGAAAACAACTAAGATCTGGGTGGGTTTTGTTCCCAAGTACTCACTACTCAGGAAAAAAACCCAACACTTGATGTAACTTCTTCGTTTTAACATAGATGACATGAGACAACACAAACAATTAATTGAAATTTTTCCTTCTGCCATGCAATTCTCTCCTTGGAAACAACACCTGGAATCACATGCAAGTACAATCCCTGCAGAGGAGAATGCTGTTGGGGTCTGCAGGAGCTGGTAGGAGAAAGTCCCAAATAAATACAGACATATATAGGGATATATGTTGCCAGCTAATCCAAGATCATGTTCTCATTCAACCAGAAAAGTCATGCAGAGGGACGTGGAGTGTTTGGAGAAGTGGTGTTTGGATGTCACTCGAGAGGATGGTAAATGAGCCTCAGTTCAGTGGAGAGTGTATGTGTTGGTGACATGAACATGAGGACAGCAGGACCCCAGCCACACACACAGCATGGACTGATGCTCACAGTCGTGCCCTGTTCGTGCCAGGGGAAGGGAAGGGAAAGAGAACTGTGGCTTTGCAACCAGAGACACAGATTATGGGAAGCCACAACATCACACCAGGGTGTGCTTTAGTTCTACCTCCTCCTAACCTCTTTCAGTTGGCATCTATGAAAGCACATTTCATAATAAAACAATTACATTTCCAGGCTGACTTTGGGGAAGGTTTAAAAAACTTTCAGTTTTGACTTGAAGTTAACAAAGGACAGAAGCTGAGTTGTTTTTTCTCTGCTGCCAGCCAAAAAATGAGAGCCCAATGCTGGACAGACATGAAAGGACGATGGCTGATGGAGGGATTCTCACTGCTCTAGTGGGCTTTGCATTTTGATTCATTTAAGTCCAACAGCTCAGCACTCAGCAGAGACATTCTTGAGAACTGACCTTCAAAATGAGCTGTCATCATCCTCCTTAGGACACCAGGGGTTTGAGCTCCTGTTTGAAACACTCTGGTTTGGGGCTCAGTCCAGTTCTCTACAGTATTAAATCAGCACTTTTAAAAAATGTGGACTCATTACATTAGCAGTAATTTTGGATCAATAAAAAGTATCAGTTGTAATGTCTTGTCATTGATTTTAAACTATGCTTGAGCCATTACTTCTTTTTCTCCTCAGTTAGCCAAACTGAGCTGGACTAGCACAGACTCAGATCCATCTCTGCATCCGAACTCAACCAGTAACAGTGCTCATTCTTTGAGAAGCTGTGGCCAGGAGAAAGGTGTTGTCTCCTGTTAGTAAATGAGGTACATTTTCAAAATCCAGATTTTGTGCTGAGCTTGTGGCATATGAGAACTCCTCATTAAAACCAAGCAGAAGTGCCAGGTGTGAATGACAGCCTTTGTGGCTGACTGGGCTCCAGTCTGATTGCAGGTGTGAATAAGAGGCAGAAACCAATTACTGGGGGTATGAAGGAAAGGAAAATACAACTGTGTGTGCAAAACTTTCCATGACTAAAACAGAAATCATTAGAGGGTCAGGCTCAAGCCTGGTTTGCCTCCAGTGATTTCAGAAAAGCCATTACAAAGGTGAATTCAGCCTAGAGGATGGAGTTTCTAGAAGCAGAGTAACCTGGGCATAAGGGAAACAAAACGTCAGCTAGTGATCATGTCATGGTTAGTAATCCCACTTCTTTTCCTCCTCCACAACCACAGTGGAGTCACTGGAACTATAATGGCAAAGACTGGGGTTGCCCCATCCCCACAGCCACCATATAAGCATGGAAAAGCACAGGGCCTTGGATGAGTGGAGGGGCACTGGAGCCAGACTCATGTCTGTAATCTTGGCCTTTGGTATTCTGCAGCATTCCACTATAATCACCCCTTCTTCTTAATTCACAGGCTTTTTTTCCCAAACTGATGTTGAGTGCTGTCAGACACCACATCAGCCACGTCCTGCATGTCCTCCCAACCTTTTGCTATTTGCCAGCTCAGCTGTTTTGCATTTCAGGAGCAAAGCAGAACAGCCAGGTTGCACCGCCGAGCTGGTTGATTGTTCCTGAGCAAGCTTTTAAGACACCTTCTACTCCCAGAACCACAGGCCAGTCAAGGGTCCTGAAAGCACCTTTCCTTCACTGGCCTGGGTGCCACTTCTTCCCATTGTCAGGTCTCTGAGGTGCCTTCATCTCTGAGTGCACCAGGAAAAGTCCCTTACAAAGCAGAACATGATAGACCTGATAACCTGGCTTGGTGTAGTTACATTACTGGCTAAAAATGAGTGTGTTATTGCATTTATTGACTAAAGATCATTGGTTTAGTACATTAAGAAACCACAGCTTCTAAGGAGTTTCCTATTAATTTACCTACATTGAGTTTTCCGTGATTGCTTCATCGTTTACGGTTATTTTGTTATATGCATCCCAGATGAAGGCTTTTAGCACTCAGCCTTGGATGCATCAAAGTGCTGGCATCTGCCCCAAGAGCTTGTGCAGTGGGGATTGTGGGCAGGCACCCAAGGGTCCAGGAAAACAAGACATTTGAATTATTTTTATGTCCCTTCACAGTTCACCTACAGTTTTACTAAAGCACAGGGTGTATAGCTCTACATTCAGGATGGATGCAGGTAACAAAGATGCCCTTGCAGCTACTCCAAAGTTCCAGACTACTTTTTTTTACTGGAAGAACTACAGTCTGTAATCCCTTTTTTCAGGGTCACCAATGGATTAAGAAGATCTCAAGGTAATACTTTGTTCCATCCTCCCTTTCCCTTGCAGAACTCAAGACGGGGAAGATGAAATGAGGACCACAGTGGGTAGGAATTCAGTAGAAAATAGAAAAAAAAAAATTACACTGGCTTTAGCAGTTAAAAATCCATGCCTAGGAAGACATGCAAGGAAGACACTGAGATCAGAGTGGCTGATTTTCCAGAACACAGAACTGGACATGGACAGATGAGAGGACAGCATTACGAATAGCACTGCTCATTTTCATCTCTGCCAGAAACAACCTCAACTTTAAGCAACTGAAAGGAGGCTGTCTCTGGGGAGGAGTCCTTGCTCACACTATGCCTCCCCAGATAAAACAACCTCACCTGGCAAATGGAAACACTGCAGAAGTCAGGATAATTTTTTCAGCTAGACTATTGACCAAATCTTTGCCATTTGGAAATGTCTTGAAACGCTGTCTGTGCAACTGATGATCACCCAATATTTAAACCACACCTTTCAAGGTTAAACTTCAAGGAAGGCCACAGCACCATCAAAACATGTAGCAGGAGGCTGACTCAAAGGTTCAGGCTATTTATCCCAGTGTAAAGGATTTCCTACCATGGAGAATTGCTCATTATGAACCCTACATCATGCCCCATTCCTCTTTGTCACCCATTCAGAGATGGGATTTACCACTCTACTTCTGAGCTCCTGGTACACACAAGCCACTCAGGAATGACTCCTAACATCTAAACTGACAGATAATAAAAATAGCCAGCAGGTCAAAAAAATAGCAAGAAAAGAAAAGATACACGTTGAAACAATTAATGAAGAAAATCAGAGATACATATACTGTTAGAACTTTAGTTTTACACTTTCAAAACTGTAGTTGGTTGGCTTTCTGAGGGAGACAGAGACTGGTGATTTTGAGAATTAAAACGGACTCCAAAAAGAGAGCATGCAAAAATCCAGGTTCACAAACATGCGGCATCACTCAGTGCCCTGCCACTCCCGGGCTGTCCACCTGCCTGGCTGCGGGGCGGGGAGCTGAGGGGGGTCCCCTGCCAGCATTCACAGCATGCAAACTCCGGGCAGTGGGAACTCAAGAAGGTGCATGTTTGCTGCTGAGGAGCAGTGCCTGAGGTGGGGGAAGAGACTCTTCCAAGTGCAGGTGTGGATGTAGAGGTATTTACGCACAGGTAACACGAGATAAATGTGTCTGTGTACCCTTATGGGTGCACTAAGGGATGCTGGTTGGGAGTTCCCTGAAGCCACCTAAACAATTGTCAGCTTGACGAAAGAGATGCAAGCCCTGCTCGTACAAAACCCTGTGCTCTATCTCTAGCTGTCTGTTCCCCACAGGGTCTAAAAACAGAACCATTCACAATGCCAATGTCAACGCTCAGGGGAACCCGTGTCCCCTACGTCTGGCGGGACAGGCTGAGATTAGTCCTTCTCTAGCTGCGTAGTAGAGGTGCTAGATAGGCAAGATGTGGCTTCCAAAGGCCACAAGACTAGGAAAGGTCAATTTGTGGTGTTCACAGAGAGCCAAAGGAATGGTGACTGAGCAGAGGTAGGAAGCTGGTATTTCTCACGCTGCTAACTGGACACTGCTGTACAGCGCAATTCAATTTGCAAGGACTCCCTGGACCTTGAGGAGGGATGGAGCAACAGGGAGGAAGGGGTGTTCTTTTAAAATAAAAAAAAAAATTAAATTTTTAATTTTTCCTTCTTATTTTTATTTTTAATTTTCCATCATTTGTTAAACTTCGTGTCCTGGCCTCCTCCCTCGCTCAGCAGACACCGGCTTGCTAGCCCAGAACAAATTCCCCATCCTCATCTCTTTGGTTCACGTGCTCTGCACGATCGGCAGACAGGGAAGCCTCTGATTTCTGAGCGGGCAGTGGGGAGGCTCTTCCACTTTTTTTTTACTCATCTAGTACCTCTATTAAGCAGAGAAGTGATCAGAACGGGTGGTAGCAGGGTAGAGGGAGAATGAGCCGTGCAGCTTTTGATTAGTTTCGTGCGACGCATTTCCCGTGGTACCTAGAGTTTCCTGAGCAGCATCCGCAAAGTGACTCTCTGCACGGTTTGCTCTTACTGGAAATGAGGGGAGAGTAAAAATTAGACCTGGAAGCAAATGCCAGACAGGAAACTTTTGATTACTGACTCTAGGTTTAAAAGACAGGTGTTTTGAGGGCCGGGTTCATGACAGGATTGTTCTGTTTGAGTGTTAAGTGAAAAGAAAAAAGTTAAGAATCAAGAGGGCTTCTGAAATTTGTCTCACTGTGGTCAGTAAATTTCATTATTAGAACTGATGCATTGAATTGGTGGCGTCAGTTTGTCTACAATTAACTACAGGAAGATTTTTTTCATCTGCATTGGAAACAAAAAAATACTCTCTTCTTCCTCTAGACAAATAAAAACCCCACAAGTTTTTCTCAAATTGTGTAAGCCATGGAAAGCCAAAACTTTAACTTGTTTTGTCAAACAATATCAAAAAAGCTCCAATTTCTTCTTTCTTTTTTTTTTTTTCTTCCAAAAAAACCCCACTCACAAAGAGGGCTAATTAATCTGTGAATTATTTGCACTTCTCATACAGGAAACAGCATAATATTAAGCCTGGCATTTAAAAAAAAAAAAAAACCCAAAAAAAAACCGGGGTGTGGTGCAGCCCCTTATGGGAAGGGAGCTGAACATCTGTGTTCACACATTTGTTTTTTCATGGTGCTTTTTAGACAGGCCCTAGCACTTCTGGGGAGTTACTGACTTTGACGAGGCACCACCACAGCTCCATCCCAAACCGCTGCTCAGGCACTGCCCTGCCAGGAGATCACCACCACGACCAGGGTCCTCCACGCCATGGAGCAGCCCTCTACCTGTGGAAGGGGAATGACGTGGCCCCCATCACCCCACCAGGCCACCAACCACCAGCAGGCAGCACTTGCCAAATTCACAGGAAGACTGAAAAGGCTAAAGGGCATCAAACCCCAGTCTCTTGGGTTTTGCACTCGAACTCGGCAGTCGGAGGAGCTCGTGGGCACAGCATCCCATGCAAGCTCAGCCGACACCACCCTCGGCATCCTGGGGACTCCTGAGATGCTCACAACAGGACCCTGCATCCCCAGGTAGCCCCAGGGACCACTGGTGCTGTTCTGGAGCTGGCGTGGGAGTGGGACATTCAGCATGCAGAGCCTCAGGGAGATGTGTGGGTTACTCTCCTCTTAGTCTCTCCAGAAAGATGCAGTTCCTTCTGTGCAAATAATCTGCTCCCCTAAAGGCAACTGATTATTTCCAGATTACTGTCAGTCCCAGCATGAGTCTCTGACACCAGTTTAATTGGTTAGAAGGGCAAATGCCAGCCCAGGCTAATGTGGCCCATCGGGTTCCTGTGATTGGCCCCGGTTTCCACAGGCAATAGAGGTTAGGACACCTCAGACACCCTAGGCTGGATGAGCAGGGGCCCACTGAGTCAACCAAAGGCATCCTCCAGTGCATACAAAAGCCTTAATCACACCCCTGAACAGAGATATTAATGTGTGTATCTCAGACAGACATAAACATACACTGATAGAGAGATATACACACAGATATACACACACGTTACAAGGTGGCCCAGTCCAGCATCCACTCAATCCATGGCCAAGGTCCTGCTGAGTTCATTGGGGTCAAGGACAAACCACAGCTGAGAATAACCTTCCAAAGAGGTTCTTCTCATTACCTACAGCACTGAACTCATGCTGGACAAAGTAATCTGAGTTTTAGCTTCCCAGTTCCCTGGAATCCTTCTGTTTCTTTTTCTCTGATATATTAATGTATTATTATAATCATTTGGCTCATTAATTTTTAGCTTGTATTTTGGAAAATACAAGAGGAATAAATGTGGTCATGGATGCCTTCAGATGTTTATCAAACCATCTGTTAAAGAGCATCTGAAGCCCACATTTTGTACAGGAGCCTCCATAGCCCTGGCCAACCAAGTGTCTTTTTGACATTACAATCGAAGCAAAATAAACAGAAATGAGATGGTACAGCTAATTTCCAGCCTAATTAACAGAAGAGTAATCACACCCCATTGCCACTCTGTTCTGCTGCTTTTCTGCAGCAGAAGGGGTGAGGAAAGCCCCACCATATCCCTGGGGATATGAGGCAGAGAGGATTCGATCTGGACCCTGCATGAAAGCAGTGGCCTTGGAGGTGTGGTGGGTTCTAAGTGCCCTGGCAGCACAGCCAGCCTGGGGAGGGGCAGGGGGGCACTGCTCGGCCAGGGCAGATGGCAGGGTGGACACGACACCCACAGCAACAGGTAACAGGAGGCTCTGAAAGCTTTTCTTTTTTCAAAAAGGGAGGGAAGTAAAAGGAGGGGAAGAGGTATGTGGCACGTAGAAAAAGGCCATTTCTTTTCTGCTCCTCGCAACCTGGGCTCCAGGTCTGGGGGAGGTGAACTCCTGGCCCCCGAGCAGGTCAGCACAGAGCTTTCCCAGCACTTGGTCTCAGATGGATTCAGGCAGGCTCGTGGTGGAAAGCAAAACAGAAGCGATAGGGAAAGGACAGAACCTGTCTCTCAGATCAGCTGTCGCATTTTATGCCAAGACCAAATCAAAAGCCACGACAGAGTAATTCCAGGTGACCCTGAGCCCCTGCAACGCTAAGCCCATCACCTCCTCACATTCTCCCACCCTCGGCAGCAGCTCTCTGAGTGCTGTCTGGGCAGAAATCAGCACAGCCACAGCAGCAGTGGGGTCAGAGGGCAGCATCACCACAGTGAACAGGCATGACCCCAACAGCCACCCTGTGTGCTGGCAGAATGCTTGGGATGCTCCTCAACCTCACAAGGCAATGTTTTTCCCGCACAGCACATTCCCAAAAGCTGTGCCAGCATCCCTTCTCTAAATCTCTAAACTTAAAATATATTAAGATGCAAAATAGTAAGAAAACTCTTTCTGTTTCATTTGCTGTAAAGACTGTGGTGTATCAATCATGGAAAGAGGGATATAGGAAATCAGCCACTCTCTACACATCACTACAACTGGGAGGAAGATCCAGCTGTCTCCAGGTGTTAGACTGTTTTATTACAGCGATGGAAATGGAGAGTGGCAAATCCTTTACCAGCTGAAGCAGTAAAAGCTTGGAGTTGGGGTCTGCTATGAGAGACAATTCATCCCCAGGAGCTTCCTGAGTGAAGCATCACCAGCGACTGGGTGATTAACTATTGGGTGGGCAGAGAAACAGGATGAGTTCTCTTTTCTAAGGACAGGATGACACACTGAGCATCTCCGGGAGGCTGCTAGAAATAAAAGTGGGTGGAAGATCTGGGATGTGAAAGTAAAAGATCCAGAAAATTTTGTTGGGGAAAATAGGTAATTTGGTCCTCCCGTAATGCAAAATTCCTTCCTGAGGTCTGAGACATTGTCAGGCAGAAAGAGGACAGTGGGAGCAGGTAGAATTGATATTGTCCTAATAAAACAGAAGGAAAGAGCTTTGGTGCTGCCGTGGCAGCTGAACTAAACAATATGGAACATGCTCTAACACCATCTGCAGCCATGGCAGCTGCAGACCCTCAGCTTAAGCCCTCCTGAGTTTGGGTTTAGCAACAAAACCCATCAGTGTCACAAGAGACAGATGCACCACAGGAGCAGGAAACAGCATCTAGAAATTACTCTGATGAAGGACCTATATATAGTGAAAAATACTCTGGAAAAGGACTGGGGAGGACTATTTTTACCTCTTTCTGTGACATAAGATTGAGAAGGCAATGTAGAAAATGAACCTAATGTTTTAACTGGTGAATATGAACCCTGTAAGACAGGACTGAGATTCAAAAATAAGAAATGCATCCAAAGTATATCACTGGCTGAGACAGAGCAGTGGAGCAGCCAGACCCTGGGATGAAAAGCTGACCCTCCTGATGCCACAGGCAGGTAGCCAAGATTTCAGCCTTGATCTGCTCCCAGAGAGCCCTTCCCATGTAATGTTGCCTGCTTTAATAATGCTGGATGGAGGCTGCCTTTGCTCAAGCTACACTTGAGACCCCAAATAGGAAAAAAATAAATAAAATAAATCTGGATAGTTGAAACATGATCTTGGAGATTTGGGTTACTTGGCAGGAAAGTGGATGGAATGCTACAAAGGTTCTGCTTGCAAAGAAAAGCTCAAATGAAAGACAGAATAAAAAGGAGGGAGGGAAGAGGGGAAGGAAAGAAGTAGGGAAGATTAAATTTTCCACTCTTTAGTCAGCACCGTATCTACCCAGATATCTTTGGCTGGCTTTTATGCTACAGAAAAATTAGTTTCTGGCCTCTTATAAGCTAAAAGGCATGGCTGAGAGGTACATCTGCAGAATGCCAGGTTTTAGCTGTACTTCTGAAAAACATATCCATTGTTCAGAAAATTTAGGCTTTAAGCTATGTTTGGAGGTGTGAGATGGAAGGTCTGAAAGCCAAGCAGATGATCTCCACAGATCATCAGTTCTGTGTTTCTTCACCCAGGAAAACAAAAAAGAGATTCATTTCCAGGATTACTTCTTAAAAGAACTGGGAAAATATAGGGAAAATATAGGACAAAAAAAAAAAAAAAATCCCAGAAATAAATACTTCTCAGAGGATGAAAAGTATCCCAAAAGTATCCCAAACACCAGCCCTGTTGCTTTCCCTGGGACACGTGAAGAGAGAAAAGCTCTCCCGCAGGTGAGATTTACGGCCGCCCTTGGAAAGTGCTCGCTATGTTTCAGACCACGCTCTGCGTCGTGGACTCGAGGCGTGGAGGGAAGATGGAGCAGGGACTGTGCCTCATCCAAAGGGAAGGGGGTAGAGAAGGGGTGTCTCTAACATGCAGTGCTGTGTCAGAGAGCCCTCCTGTGTCCCACGGAGCAGCAGGTCCGTGCGGTGCCCTGCGGCGAGAGGAGCTCGGGAGAAGTCGCTGACGCGGTGATGGCTTCGTGTTCCCGTGTCACCTCTGCCCAGCCACGGCCTGGGGTGACGGAGACACGGGCAAAGCATCACCCACCCCTCGGCACACGCTGAGCCCGTGTTGTGCTACTCCAGCTACAACTCCAGCAACGAAATAAAATAAAGAAGCATAAACCAAAGCCCTGCTGTCACCCCGGGTAAGTGTCTGCCAGCTCTGCCCGTGCTGCCACCGCTCTCCCTACCTCCCACAGCCTCGCTACCCTCGCAGCTACAGCCCGAGGCAGACTGGAAGGAGGATATATGATTTAAGGTCCAGCATACACGTGGATACATTGGACTGGCACAGCACAGAACAAGCACGTTAATACCTAGAATGCTTCCCTCGATGGCGCCACGACATGGTACACACACGCACACACGCACATAGAAATCTACAGGGAATGCATGGGAATGGCGTGTTGGCAGTGATACAGACCTTGGCGATGGTTCGGGCTGCTGCTCTTTCCTTTAAACAGAAGCAATAGTACATTAGCATGGTGTCAGGTGGCAAAAGATGTTGCTGCTTCACTGTTAAAACAGAACGAAACGACAATACCAAACAGTACAACTAAGTGGAAGTTGTGGACAGAAGAAAGGGAAAGGAGCACTTAATTCCTGGAGTTTCTGGCCTGGACAGAAGATCACTGGAGACTCACACAACCTCAGAGAAGACACATACAACGCACAGGGTTGAAGAGTTTATCCCAACCCATCCTTGTGCCTACGCAGGACTGAGACACCCGAGGGTCGTGTGATTTGTGTGAGCACAGGAGGACTTCTGTGGGCTCAGAGAGCGGCCCCCTTCCTTTGGAAATGCACTGTCCTGATGTTTCTGCACACGGGGAAAGGTTTGAACGGTTCCCATGATCCTGTATTCTTTTTTATTCCCTGGCCATTGGGACAGAGCCAGTGTCAGATACCTGGATCATGGATTTACACCACAGTGCCAGCACAGGGTGTTGGGAGGAGCCCATGGGTGGAAAGCAGCATGGACCCCTGCCCTGACATCTGACACCCCAGGTGGGGTTTCTGCCTCCAAAGCCTTTGGCAGCTACTTTACCAAAGTAATTGGCAAAGGTTACATGGAGGGACTGGGATGCCACAATTTTTGTTATATGGTTTCCTATTGAGATCTCAAACTTGAGTGCTCTGAAAAATCCTTGAGGACAAAGAGAGCTGAACACCTGCAAAAGGGCAGTCACGACACTGCAAGCCATGCTAAGGCCACACTTAAAAAAAAATCTCACCTTCACTGACCAGGCATCGTGGTGGCATTTCCCTCCAGCAATGCGGAAAACCTGTTCTGCCTTTAGCTACCCTAATTCACAACCTCTACACAACAGGGCCTTGCACTTAGTGTGGGACCCCAATCAGCCTTGCCCCTGCAGCCCCCCAAGAGAGGGAACACACTGTGTTTCTCAGCAGATACAGGTCTATCTCCCCTAACACAGATGCCCTCTGAGCATGATGCTGTACCAGCCCTGACCCTGCCACTACTCAGCAGTGACTGCTGAGACCTGCACGGACCCCGACCCCTCTCCTTTTGGATAAAGGCAGCAGCCTGGAGAGACTAAAACAAACCCCCTCCACCCTCTGCTCCTTGCTCAGAAAAGCTTGGAAGCCCAACCTCAGTCACTAGCTCAAATACTCATATTTTAATGCTTTCAGGCTGACCCAGGGGTCTACAGATCTCTATTCTCTGCTGAGGCCCACAGCCCAGGGCAGGTTCCATCCTGGGCATCCCCAGCTGGCCCTGATGGCCACCAGCACAGCCAGCATCTCTCCATCACTCCCAGGGCTTGCAGGCTCCCCATTCACCAACAGGACTGTTTAAAACCCCAAGAATTACCCCTCCTGAGCAGAGGGTGAAGCTGCAGGACTCCTGGCTTTCTGGGAGATTCCTGTATACCTTACCACAGCAAATTTTGTAAAAATTTCTCACTGCTGCAATCTTGTCTGCTCTCACTGGAGGGAACAGAGAACCAGTTCACACATCGTGGGCCTGAATCTCCTCTGAGGGTGTTGAAGAGCAAAAAGGTCAGAGGAAAACCGGGAACACTAACTCAACCACCCCCTTTGAGAGTACAACTTTTCATTGTCAGTCAAGCACTGTGACATTGCTCCAGAGCCAAGTGAGGCTGAAGAGGAATTCATGTAGAGCATGGGAGAGGGACAGGGATGAGGTCACTGAAGGACCCGTGGGGGACCAGCTGTCAAACCTCTCACATCTTCAAGGCTGTCTGTATGCAAAAGCCAGGAAGGTAAAAGAGAAAAGGAAAAAAAAAAAAAAAAAAAGGTGGCAAAGTGTGTGCTTTCCAAACTCTCTTAACTCTGTTGCTAACCTGAATGTCAGTCCCGACTTGCTCTTCAGGTTCCTCAGGAGCTCCAGCTGGTTCAGAGGAGGGATTAGTCTAGAGGGAGAAAACAAAAGCCATTAATACACAGATAGAGCTGATTCCAGAGCCTCCTGTCTTGGCAACTTCCCCCGCTGCCCCATCCTTTCAACCAGAACCAGCTTTGTGCCACCAACAGCAACCGGGGGACAGCTCGGGAAGGATGGAGAGGGATTTGGCTGCTAATTCCAACAGTGTCCTAAGGCAGAGCGGTGGGGTAAGAGAGAGAAAGAGACAGCAAGAGAGAGAGAGAAACTTGTCTGCACCATTGGATTTTGAACCTCCCAAAAACCAAGTGACTGCCAGGGTTCGTGGGCAGCCCAGTGGTGTTTCAGCAGAGCTGTTTCACCACCTGTAGTCTGGCAGGTTGGCATTGCTGTGGTTGGAGGTCAGCACTTTGGATGTGTGCTAAGTGGAGAGAAACCCCAGTTTTGGGGCAAAATGGGAAAACTCAACCCTGCTGCTCTTGGGAATGTGGGGAGGCAGGGGAAGGAGCAGCTTATGGGGCAGAGAAAACAGGGACCTCAGGTTGTGACCATCCCAGGAGAAATGGTAGTGTGCTCCAGGGTCAAGTTTAACGAATTCTCTACTGTCCATGTCAGGTTTTACCACAGAATGAGGCAAAATCCTGTATTGTTGCCTTCTAGGAACCACGGGCTTCCTTCCTTTCTCAGTGACAAATAAAGAACCTGGTGGTGGGAATCCTGGTTAATAATCTAAAAAAAACCTCAAAGAACAAATACCCTGTGGCCTATCCTGCTTTTGTTCTAAAAGCCATTGAATTAGCTTCTACATCCACTTTTGGTTTCTTCCCTCAGACCCTGAGAGGCTGGGGCTCGCTCCATAAATATTTAATGCTGATATTCACAGCCAGGTTTTCAACCTAGAGAAACCTAAGCTGGAGGTGTCCAGGGGGAGGACAGAGAAGGCTGCTCATGGCTGGGAAGAGCAGCATCTGCTTAAGAGCTCACTTGGGGGGGCTCTGCTTTCAGGGTCAAGGCCAACAGGGCTCATCTCATGACCAGCTGCAAAATCCCCCCCGGGCCACCAGCGTGCCCTTGTCAAACTGTGGAAATAAAATACTGTAAAATAAAGGCAGAGATATTCATGCCCACATTTTTTCAGCCATTATGAGACCAATAGTTTCACACTTAAAAAAAAAAAAAAAAAAAAAAGCAACCAACTAGAAAAGCCTCTTCTCTGCAGGCACAAAACTTATCCTCAAAACCACAGTTGCTCAGCAGAGATTTGGTGTTCACAAGATTGAGGCAATCAGAAAATTTTCCAATTCTAAGTATGGAGAAAAGAACAAAAATAGGCCTGAAAATTTTGGCTCGGCTCCCCAGTCCAGCTCTGTTCACTTCCATCCAGAGAAAAGCACATCCTGATCTGCTGAATTAATGATCCTCTTCGCTCCAGTCATCAGGATGAAGCCGACCTTGGTTCAGTGGAGCAGTGCAGGAGTGCTGGGCTGTCACCTCCCTTCAAACCCACCGTAGGGTTTGGAGATTCATTCCAAGATGGGAGAGGTGGTGCATAAAATCAAGCACAGAGTGTACTCAGCAGCTAATGAAGGGTGCACAACTGTTCTTTGGTGAGTTAGCTTCTCAGGGAGGTCCATACCCAGCAGAACACAGTCCTACTTTCTCCAGCTGGGATCACAAATCCAGGGCTCTCACTCATGCAAGTCTCAACTGAAGAGCTCATCAACTCACTAGATTGAAGGATCCAGGATTCCAAAAGGAGTTACTTCATTTGCACTAGCCCATGGTCTGCACTATGCTGAAGGTGACCACCTCTTGGGCCACCACAGATGTTTCTATGCAAAGGCACAGACACACAGCAAACACAGAAATTCACCATTTCTGTAGTTGGTTGATGGGCCTGGTACACATGAGGTGGAAATAAACAATATTTTACTGAAATAATAATAATTATTAAAAATAGGTGCAAACTCATCCGTGTACTTGACCTGAAATTTAATCTCAATTAAATGCTCAGCCTAACCTGTCACTGCAAGAGCAGCCTGGGGAACAGCTACTGCATCGCACCATTTCTCCAGAACCTCAAAAACAAACAAACAAACAAACAAAAAAGGCAGAACTCTGCGCAGCTCTTTGAGTGAGCTTTGCTATGGAATGCTGCCCTGGTGTGTGTGTGTGCCCAGGGGGCAGGTGGTGCAGGTGCCCCCGTGCCCTCCAGAGCCGTGCAGAAAGCACCCCTGGCTGGGGTGCCTCACGTTTTCTCTCTCTCCTCCTGGTCCGTGTGTCACTTGTTAGCAAGGGAAGCATGTTTTGGTTAAGGGGGAGCTGGGTGAGGAGCTCTGCACACCAGGGAACACACACAGCTCATGCCACCCACCACAAAAACACTGCTGCAGGGGACCCAGAGGAACCCGGAGCTGCTTCCATCACCCCGCCCAGAGCAGCACAGAGGAATGCCACACTAACTCCAGGTGCCGGCTACCACATCCAGAGGGAAGGCAGACTCGCTATTCCTGGCAGCACAGATAACTTTCAAGCATTAGGGGACAGTGGGGGTATCATGCCTCGGGCCAGGACACCACCAGAACCCCACAACACAAGGAGGGCAGCAGGACACAACACGGGGGGAGCGTACACAGACACGCACACACCACGACACGCACACAGAGACGACGATGATTTTTTTGAACAGTCCCAGTAGGAACAATTAGGGAGAGAGTGGCAAGGAGATGGATTCTGGAATGGGATGGGGGCCTAAATGAGTCTCCATGCTATGCTGGAGTCCCTGTGAGCAGCCAATTTTTACCCTAACTATGACTTTATGTCTCCAGCTAAAGCTATTTTTCACAACTGAGAACATTTATGAAACTCATAAAATACTTTATTACAACAAATGGGATGGAAGTGGCACATTCTTATTTCACTTCTAGCAGTAGAAAAATGTCTGATTCTCAAAACAGGCTGTTGTTCAGCACAACAGGAAAATATATTTTTAATATTATACTTGCAGTTCATTGATGCAATTTGTTGTAAATTAAGCACACAGAGCAGTAAGTGTGATTTACTAGGGCTATAAAACTTACATCTGTGAAAACTGGTGCTAGGTTTGGAAATCAGACACTAAATCACATCAGCTCTAATGGCATTACTGCATCTAGTGAGGATTTAAACTGCTCTAAAAAGAGAGCTTGGCCTGCAGTCTTGAAATGCAAGTCATTTATTCCCCATCTTAAAATATTAACTTGACTACACCTTCAGATACTCATCTCATATAAAATACGCCTGTGATTTGCAAATCTACTCCTTTCTGCAGAACCTGAGATAACATTATTTATCATAAATCTTACACAGCCACATCCAGGTCTTTGCATTTGGATTGGTCCCAAAAGGTTAAGTCCCAGATTGAGTAACTGTGGCTAATAACTGCTTGGCTCTAGGTTGGTCTTGGAAGAAAAAACTGAAATGGAAAAGTCCTGCTGAGATGAAACATCTTTTTCCCAAAAATCAGACTGGATTACTCAAAGAAATGAATTATTATTTCAGTTTAGCATCCCAGATCTTTCTCTCCTCCACATGCTGTCCTCAAAAGCAGGCACAGCTGCTGTGGAGATTTTATTCTGTGCTCCCACTGATGGGTCCCATGGTGCCACCACACCAGCAAACTCAGCAAAGCCAGTATTACTGGGTGGGCACAGAGCATAGAGCCAGATAAATGACACAGTGAAGGGTGGGAAAAGAAGGCTGGAGAAAGGGAACACGCAGGAGTGATGCCAGAGGGAAATGGAATTATGAATGGGGACGTTTCCTTGTTGAGCGTTGCATGGATTGGAGGATTTGGGTAAGACCATCAAGAAATCATCCTTAAAAAAAGCAAGCTTATCAAGCACTCTCCCATTCTCCTTCCTTACATCACTATTTTGGCAGAGTTTCCCAACACTTGAGTGTACCAATAGCTAAAATGGACATGGAGGTGCATGGGGTTAGTCTGTCAGCAGCAGGTGGGGGCATCTGCTTTGAGCTTTCACTCATTCCTTTGAAAAAACTCATCTTCAGAGGTTTTTTCTGTTTTCTTTTTTTTTTTTTTTTTAATTCAAGGCTTTGCATATTACAGTCCCAAATGAAGAACAAGGAGTGACATGACACACACTTTCAGAGTCACATGCACTTCATACCTGGAGGCACCATACGTTTGCGTTTGCGTGCTTTTCAAGAGTTTTCACCAAAGAAAACCAAAGGGATAAGAGAAAGAAAAACAAGGGGGGGAAAGAGGTAGGGGTGGAGGAAAGGGGAAAAAGAAACAGAATAAAGAAAATTAGCATATGAACGAAGTGTCTCCCCGGGAGCAGATGCTGTGGCCAGGCTCACAGGTGAGCACGGGAGCGTGGGCTGAGCTCGCTCCCGCTGTGGCTGGCTCAGAAACTGCCACACACCCGTGTCACCCTCGGGGACAGGCAGCTGGCACCTTGCTCCAAGAGCAAACGGGCACCACAGAGCGGGGAAAGTGTGGGGGCCTCCCAGAGACCTTCCATGGGACATCCACAGCCCTCGGTCCCCACCAGCCAGGAGCTCCTCGGGCTGGGCTGCTGACCTGGGCAGGATGTGCCCCATGGGTTTGTGATTTGTTTTTTTTAGTGAAGACCAATATATGAATGTAGCTGAGATCCAGGCTCTGCTCTCATGAGTGACAATGAGAGCAAACTTTTTTTTTCCCCCAGTAAATGCAGTGGCTGATGCAGAACAGGTTAGGATGTCTGAGTGCACCAAGCTACTCAGGCATCACAACCCAAGCCACACCTGCACACACACAGAAGCCTCGTGCGTATTTCAGATTTGGTTCTATCACATTTTGGATTTAAAGATCAAATCTGAGATTCTCTAAGAAGCCACCACATTTTCCCCAAACAAGTTAGAGCAGCTCTCCTGCAGTGATTTGAGTGATGCTCTGGAGCCACGTGAGCTCCTCCAAGGCATGTGTAACAATTTGCTCATATCAAGCAGCCAAAAGCCTTTTCAGAGATGCCTTGGGAAGACAGATGAGCTAAAGGCACAGGGCTCCTGCTATGAGGAATCAGCAGCCTGATGTTGAGCAGAAAGGGTGCCAAGGTACTGGTGATTGCAGATCACCCCCGGGGCACCAGGGAGGGGGATACTGGGTTCCTCCAACCCACTTCCAAACCACACTGTGCGTTGCAGACACGTGTCAGCAGCCAGCACTTTAACAGGGTGCTGGGTTTGACGTGCTGCCACGGCTGCATCAGCACCAGCACAGGGCTGCCAGTGCCTGCCAGCTGGCTCAGGGAAGTGGGTGGACAAGGAGAGATGGTCAGTGTGAGTGATGGAACCTGCAGCCAGAACATGCAGTTATTCCCTTTTTAAAAATAAAAAAAAATTAAAAAAATAAAATTCCAATTAATTTTTCTGAGTACATCCAAAATATATTCAGAAGATGTTCACTGCTTTCCTGGTAAAAAAATGCAATTTGACTCATGCCTGAATCTGTCAGCGAAACCACAGCTCACTCAGTCAAGTGATGTTCACTTCACCTGTGCACAAACAGGAGCTGGGATTTAAGGGAGAAGCTGGCACTGCAGTGAAACCCATGCCAGGGAAGCCCAGGGTGACACTGCTGAGTGGGGCTGAGCAGCACCCACAGCATCAGCCAGCGATACTGCTACAACCCTGCTTCTAATCTGTCCTGGCTTTTTACTCAAGATAAGTGGGCTCTTCAAACTACATCTGTTTGCTCTTTCTCCTCCCTTAAGTTTTTATTTAGCCCCTCCTGGAGCTCTTTAAGCTTAGTTCTCTTCCTGCAGACCAGCTCCTTGGAAATACAGGTTTTAACAAGGGGATTAAGTAAAAGGTAATTCACTTGGTACTCTGCAATCAAAAGGGTGTCACTGCATGTCTGGCTGCGTGGTAAGTTCAGTAGTTCAAAGAGAATTAAAACCTGGCAAAATCCACTGAAAAAAAGCTGTGGGTGTCTGCAGTTTGCAGTGGACTTTGGGCCAGGCTCCATCCTCACCCTCTCCAGTAGCCACTGCTGCAAAGGTACAGCCAGAAGGTCAGATACTGGGAGGGAGAGCTTCAATGGGTGAGTTTAATGCTATTGGAAAACAGCTTTGTTCTGTTTTGTTGGGTTGTTGTTGTTTTGGGTTTTTTAGACAAAATCTTGAAGTTGGATCATAAATTTCCAGGGAAAAAGCAACCAATCAGACACACACTGGGAATGAATCCAATAAAAACTTACTGACCACAACAGTGTGACTTCCAACAGGTTTTTATGCTGGGTTAAGAGGCTGGCTGCTGTGTTTCAAATATACACTAATGCTTACCCCAGGAAATACATCCAGACTGCCTACCCAAGGGCTAAAAGACAACAGTAACTCAGGAAAAAACAGGCAGGGATGATACCTGCACTGGCACAACCCAGTGCTGGACACAGTCCTGTGTGGGAGCAGGGAGATGGGGCACAGGGAGCCCCACCACGCCCAACAAAACCCCACGGGAATATCTAATGATGTCCAACCCTGCTACAAACCCAGAGGGACCTGGGTAGCCCCCAAAAACACATCAGAAAGGGATGCAGGATGCAGGGTATTTCACAGAGTGAAAATGAACAGCAACACTGTGTATTTTAGCTTCTGAGGAAGCCTCCTGCTTAGATAACACCAAGCCCAAGAGGGACACAAAGGATGCAGTGCTTCCCCACGTCCTGGAGGGCATTGAGGTATGGCAGGGAACTCTGTCCCCACCTCCATGAAGCTCCAAATCCCAAGAGGCTGTGAATTCCCACAGTACTGCTCTACCCTGTGTTGTTTCACCTTAACAAAATGCCTGGGTACAATGGTAAGCAGAGCAGGTAAAGCAAGGCAGATGGGTGCTGCCAAAACTCAGTGGGGTTTATCTGCCTCATCCATCACGGCTCCACCATCCTTCCCTACTCCTGTCAACAGACTGGGATGGGTAAATGAAATATAAGAAATGGGAAAACGCTCACTGAATCCTGAGTTGGTTTTCCTCCTCTCAGAGAAAAAAAAAGGAAAAGGAAAGGAAAGGAGGACACAGGGCAAATGCACCTGGGAGAGTGCCAGGCTGGTCAAAGGAGGGAGAGAAGTTTGCTGAAAGGCAGAAGGACCATTAGAGACCAGTTGGACCAGCAAGGAGAGCCTGGAAGGGCACGAGGAGCTGCAGGTAGGGTGAGGGCAGTGTTTACCTACGATCCAGAGCAGCTCGGAGGGAGGTCTTCACACCTGGGCACGGCAACTGTCACAACACAATGCAACTACCAGCAGACATGGAGAAATAAAGGGGAAAAGAAGAGCATGTACAACACAGAGAGACATGGAAAGAAAGAAAGGAAAAAAAAAAAAAAAGGCAACATGAAAATTAAAATCAAGTCAAAAAGAAATACAACAAAAAATACAAAGCAAAAAAAACTCCAAAAGACAAAGCCTACACCAGCCCTTAAGAGCCTCTTGAAATCAACTTTTTCAATGAAAAAAAAAACCAGAAACAAATAAATGAAACTATATATCTGGATAACAGAAATAACTATGGAGGCAGTGGCAGTGGAAGAGGAAGCTGGAGGAGGAGGTACCTGTACATGGGGACGGTGACGGTGCGCTCGTAGTACTGCCAGGTGGAGTGCAGGTCCGTCCGGGACAGGTTGGTGGCATAAAATCTCCAAGCCGCCTGTGGAGGACAAGACCCAGCAGGGTTGTGGACCCAGGCATGGCCAGCACCACCCTCAGGTTCATAAACCTCAGCCAGCTCTGACTCTCTGTTTTCTGTTGGATGGATCCAGCATTTTGCCTCTCCCTTGATCTGACACATGACAAATTTGGGGTGGTACCGTGACACTCCTCACCATGTGAGCCCGGTTAAAAGTTCTGTGGGTCTCAGGCACACACACTGGCAGGCTGAGGGCAAGGATGAAATGGGTATTGTTGCCTATTAAGGAGTTAAAAATTTGGAAAGGGAGGAGCAGGGGAATGTAAAATGACTACTTTCAAATCTCCAAGAGGCACACCAAGGCCAACCTTCTGCATGGACATCTGTTATCATGAAGAAAATGCTCCCAAATGTAATTTTATATCAGCATAAATATTCTCTTTGGGGAAAAAGAATGAGTGGAAACAGACTGTCCTAATGCATTTGTCTTGCTGTGCTGGGCTGAATTTCATTCCTTTCCTCCCCTAGATTCCCTGCCACATATGCTATTTTCCCATGGTTGATTTCCTGGCATTTATTCCCAGACAAAACCAGTCACCAGCTGCTGTCTCACACCTTAAACACACGGCCCCATTTTTCACCAGCCTGTCTCCTCCCCAACTTCTAAAAGTCTATTAAGCCCCCCAGAACCAGGACAGTGTAACCCCAAGGCTCCTTGGATGTGATCCTCACCTGGATCAGGCCCGCTGCCGGGTTTCGCCTCTTCTCAAAGTGTTTTTGCCGATGTTGCTCTTGAACCTTCAGAGCAAACCCCGACCCCAAGATACCCTGGAAGAGAACAACAATTTGCAGTTAGCAGGGGTTTAGCTCAGCTTTCACTCGAAAGCTTTGGCCAGCTTTCTCTCCAAAGTTTTTTTTCTGGCTCATTTTTTGTTTCAAGCATAAAGGAAGGAGCCTCCACCCCAGCAGCCTTGGCAGGCACCTTCAAGGGGCAGCAGACTTTGCTGGCACCCACTGGAATTGCAGATTTTCCCAAACGACCTCCAGCCAGCTGCTAAAATACAAAATAATCCCAGAGTGTTGGCATTCAGCAAATTATCCCCACAGGGATCCAGATCAGTGCAGCGCTCTGAAATGAGTGATTTGCTGAAATGATGCAATCATAGAATCACAGACTGGTTTGGGTTGGAAGGGACCTTAAAACTCATCTCATTCACCCCCCTGCCATGGAAAGGGACACCTTCCACTAGACCGGGTTGCTCAGAGCCCTGTCCAACCTGGCCTCGATGGGGCAGCCACAGCTTCTCTGGGCAACCTGTGCCAGGGCCTCACCACCCTCACAGGGAAGAATTTCTGCCTAATATCCAATCTAAATTTACCTTCTTAATTACCCCCAAGAACAGCCCTTTGAGGGAAAAAAATGCTTTATATTGCTTCAATAAATATTTGTGCAGAACCAAATCTAGAATTTCCATCGAAGTTTGCTCGAAGTGCCCAAGCTGTGGCTATTCAGACAGGGTTTGCCCTTTTCCCCCTAATTTGTTGATTCTCAAGCCACAGACCATTGCAGCCAGGAGGGTGCATCACATTGCTGGATGCAGCTGTTGCAGTGCCACCATCTCCAGGGTCTGGGGGTAAGGGAGAGGTGAGCTCAGCCCCCCTCCCACTGTGAGACCTCACTCCCAGCACCCTCCCACTTACGGCAGGGAGGGCGAAGAAGGAGACGCCGATGAGTGTGAAGGTCGCTGCCAGCAGCCGCCCGTTCCAGGTCTGTGGGTACTTGTCCCCGTAGCCAATGGTGGTGAGAGTGATCTGCAGGGAGGAGATGAGTGCCCAGCCCTTGGTCAGACGGCCTTAAAACTGAAACAACACTGCCAAAACTCCTGCAACACCCAAGTGGGACACGGAGGAGCTGGGATCGCCGCGCGCTCTGAGCTGACCGAGGCAAGGTGCAGCTCAGGGACCCGGAGCATCGAGCAGGGATGGGCAACCCCGCAGGATGCAGATGCCCTGACACCCGCCCTGCTCACGTGCTGGGTTTTCACACCAGTTGGGAGCATTTTCTGTGCCTTTTGCTGTCACAGAGAGAGCTGCCATCTGGTGCAGAGGCTGGCGGCAGATCGGAACCTCCCCCGGAAGATGGGGTTGCGCCTTCGGCAGGGGAAGCAAACCGGCACCGTTCCCCCAAACTCCCTTTCAGCATCTCAGGAAAGCAGGCAGGGCTATTTGCATGCATAAAGACCTGATTCTGCTTGTTCCCAATCCTCCCAGCAGTGCCTATTAGCTGGTCTCCCTTCCTATTTAAAAACAGACTATTAGGCCGAGAGGATGAATTACGGCTCCTTCATACCACCTCATTTAGGAACGTTTTTTCCCCTCCTCAGCATTTTTGCAATGCAGCAAAAGAGAGCTGGGAAGTTGCTGTCTGTGTTTCTGGGGAAAGATCTGAGAGATCTTTCTGATCTCTCTGTTGGAGATAGAATCCCCTGAATGTTAAACTGCAGGAGAAGACACCTTTTCCCACTTCAGTCCACAGACATCAGCAGTGGGAAATGCTGGGTATTCCCTCAGGGCTTCCAACAGGATTTGGAGAGCCTGGGTCTGGCAGGGCAAGGCAGAGAGGCGTGGTCCAATTAGAAACATCTTTGAGACTTCTGATCCCAAAAGACCCTGTGACACATGGAAGGTTGCTCCTGTCCCACAACATCCATGGACAGAGCTGGCCCCAGGGATAGGATCTGACACCACACTGATGTGGCATTGTAAATATGCATATCATTCAGAAGAAAATCACTCACAAATGGAAGTATGATCCCAAAGCGCCTTTTAATTGGACCCACTAAAAGCCTTATCAATTAGATGCTATTTTGACCAAGTGGTTAAAAAATGCATCTACATGCCTCATTCTTACTGAAACACAAAGTCAGAGCAATGCTCTCTCCATAAACACTGCAAAGTTGGTTTACAATTTTTTAATAATTTCTGCAGACAACTACAAGGATTGGATGCAGCAAGATCAACAAAGGGATGAGTTTATGAACCTGAAATTTGATTTATCCCATCTCTTAACATCTGTCTGTACTGGAACCATGAGTTGGACAATGACAGAAACTATTTATTTTAATGACATTCATTTTTTTTTCTGAGCTTCTCAGTAGCAAAACAGTCTGGTGCATCTCTACATCCCAAAATGCAGAGCAGTAATCCTCTGCTGAAGGCCCACAGAGCCTGGGAAGCAGGAGGGATAAATCTGCCAGTGGTGCTGCCCAGACTGAGCTCTAATCTGGGCTGTCACTTTTTCCTCATTGTTTAATTTCTGGTTATGTCAAATTGGGCTTTGTTTTTATTTTTTTGTCATAACTAAGGGGCTTGAAAAGCAATTTACTGCTTTTTTCCCTTTGTTGGAACGGAGGAGCTGCTTGATCAGCCGATTCCTCCCCAAGCCTGTTATTGGGATTTGATCAGATCGGGGATTTTCATTACATGCTTTGTAATCAAGGCCAAACTAGTGATGGAGCAGAAGAACAATAACGCAAGAAGATTAGAACGTCATTAATTCTCTCTTTGCTAATCGAGTAATCCAATAATTCACATGCACACGCACGCACAGAGCAAACCAAAAGTACTGCCCTTTCCTCCTCTGTCAGCAGAGATGTGAAGGGGAGTGCTCGCCCCGCTGGAGTCTGTCTGGTATTTAGAAACCTATTAATTTTATAAACTTTATTCCTGCGTGTTTAACAGCGCCTTGCCCAAGTGCAATTTAAATAATTAAAGGGCAGCAATACTTGTCAAAACAATGATCAAAGCACCCCGCAGTGTGGGGTCTCTGTCTGACCTGCCTCCACTGTCACGACAGAGCTGAATCCCACAGCTGGGAGCACATGAGTTCCCCGTTTCCCTGCAGCTCCAGCTAATGCAGAAATGTGATCCTTTAACGTTTTCTATGAGGTTTATATAAGAAAAAGAGCTAAATGGAGCAGCCCAAAGCCATTTAATAAAAATGTTAACTAAGCACTCTATAAGTCGATACCTCACGTAAGTGATAGAAGATGGAGGGTTAATGGACATTTTATTTTAATAACCAGCAGCTGTTCTATGAAAATTACTTACCAGACCCCACCAAAGTGCATCTGCGTATGTATCAAAGTGCTCATTTTCTCCTTTCTCGGCCAAGTATACCAGGAAAGAGGCCAGAATGAGGCACAGGAAGCCAATATACCACGCAGTAATCAGCTCCTGCGAGATCATTAAAGGAAAGAAGAGAATAATTGCAATCCTGGTGTGCATCTCCAAACAGTGACTTACTTGATTGCGGCTGGATCTGAGCTTTCCCTGCATTTGGTTTAGGTTTGGGGGCTTTGGTTGAAGGTCAGTAATGACACTTTTTTGAGATGGGACCATGGGGTGGTGGCTGTGCCAAGCACACGGGGCAATCCCTGTCCTGAAGACCCCAACAGCTAAACACATACAGCAAATGGAGAAGGGAGTGTTAATAGCTCCATTATTGCAAGATGTGGAACTGAGACTTAAAATACTCTACCATTTCCCCAGTTCACATAGTTAGAACTGAAATAAGAATCCCCAAATCTTTAGGGCTTCTACTTAATGGAGGAGGAGCTGCAAAGTTGGGGTCTGGATGCAATTTACCCCAATTGCAGGGAATTTTTAACTCAGAATTCACGGAATTGATTATTTTTGGATTAGGTTAATACAAAGGTGGACAAATGAGACTCACAAATTCCTTATGATAGTTCTGGCTATGGTGACTAAGCTTTTCAGAGGAAAAAAGTGCAGGAAAGAGGAGAAATGTTAAATTCACAAATTCAGAAGCAGTAAACAAAAAATTATCACAAGCTCTTCCCAAACTGATCACCTTATACCAGGGATCAGTTCTTTTACTGGAATCCCTCTCTCCCTTCTCTCCTTGACTGATCAAGGTGCTCCATTGTTTCTGACTCTGCATCCCTCCCCGAGTTACCTACGGTGTCTTTCCAACCTCCTCAGGCCTGGGAGAGCTTTGGGATGGAGAACTGAACCAAAGCAGTGTCTCTGTGGGGGAGGGAACACAAGGAGCAATGCAATGTCCCTGCCTGGGATGAGCTCACCTTGCTGTGTGCGTAGACCACAGAGCCCAGGAGCTTCCAGGTGCCGCCCCGCCGGTCCATGCGGATCATGCGCAGGATCTGCAGGAACCTCAAGCTCCTGAGTGCTGAGGTGGCAAAGACATTCCCTTGGGACCCCGCTGCCAGCACGGCGATGGATGCGATCAGCACCATGATGTCTGCAGGAACAGAGAGCAGCAAGAGCTGAAGAAGCGCTGCTGGATCACTACTAAAGGGGATGGAATTCCCACTGCCTTGGGCAGCAGAAGGCTGGGCATGAGAACGATCTCCTGGTCACTTGTATTTTGTTCTGCAAGGATATAGCACTAATCTTTAGCTGGATGAAAGGAGCCACTACACACCTTGTGGAATATCCTGGTTTCCTTCTCCGCGCTCATCATCCATAAAAAATGTGTCAAATACTGCAAAGTCTGAATTTTGATATGATTCAGTGTTAACACTGCTAAACTGGGTTAAATCCTTGCAAAATGCATGGCCTTTTTTTTTTATCAGCCATAGCTGCCTGTTACACAAAGCTGGGAATTACACCATCTAAACCGGGAATGAAAATGTCTAGGTCCTCCATAGCAGTCCTAAGGTGCTCATGGACAAAGTCTAAGAAAAAAGCCTTTCTCTCTGTACACACAGGGATTCTGTAAACCTCCATCTTCCCTAATTTTCTATACAAATTTTATAGGAGTCCTTTTCTGTGGAATAAGCTAAAATCCTGCATATGCAGGATATGACCATTGCCAGCTCCTGGACAGTTGAAAGCAGCTTCCATAGCAAAGGGCATTTCTTATCTGCCCATTTCTTATCCCAGAAAAAAAAATCACTGCTGTGCCCAGATGGCCCCTCTCACAAGAGACTCACTGAGTGCTTTACAAACAAGAATTAATTAAGTCTCATAACTCCCTCGTGAGTCGGCTCATCAGCACCAGGGAAGGCAAAGTGACACACCGAGCTTCGGTGACTTGTGAACAGTTCGGTGCGGAGGTTGCACACAGGACTGCAGGATCCCAGTTCCTGTGCTCAGCTTCTCCTGGCTAAACTCCCTTTCTGGGCAGCTGTCAATAATGACAGAGGCACACAGAGCACTGGGATGGCTCCCAGGTTGGCAGAAAACAGGGAGTGCACTGTGATGAATAACAAACAACACATCCATGGATTAGGACTTCTGCCTTTGTGCTTTTTCCTGATCACGAAGCAGCTGAAGATCAACCCCCAAAATGCATGCAAGACACCGGAGCCCCGTGCAAGCAAGTGCTTGCAATGGACATGGTGGTTTGGAGTAATCTCATGTAGGGAGGGAGGTCTTACCGATGACGCAGAAAGGTTTGCGGGCAAATTTTAACCTTCCCCTCCAGCCCCGGTATCGGCAGCAGCAGCCGGCTGCCCAGATCCTCACGAAGTATTCCACCCCAAACACCACGATGGTGACGATTTCCTGACAGGGAGACAACACTGCTAGTCAGGAAAGAAGGATGGATGGAGGAGAGCCTGCCTTAGAATCAAGGACAAACACATGACCTCAGGTAAATACACCTCAGACAATACATCACCAAGCTGTCTGCGCTGTTCAGAGAGACCAGGCTTGCAGGATCATCACATCTCTGCTTTTGTGCCTTCCCTCACCCTCCCTGGGGTGGGGAGAGGTCCTGCACATTGTAGCCATGAACTAGAGTTTTACACTGTCTCTGGTTGCCTGTGGGTGCTGGGCTATCTGGTGCAGGGGGGTGTAGATTCTCCATCCCTCAAGGCCACTCGAGCTCTTTCCATCACCATCCAAATATCCTGTGCACGTTCCCTTCCCTCCAAGTTCTTTACTAGCAGCACTTTTCTCATCTTTCTCGTGTGTCAAACCTGATGAAGCCCTAATTAGTCTGCAGCACCTTTTGATGTCGATGTAGGGCAGGGACTGGGGAAGAGGAAGACAGACAAAAGGAAAGAAGATGTGTGAATCTGGCAGCCCTGCACCGCTGCCGTGGTGGCAGGATCTCAGCTGGCTCTTGGTGGCAGAAGCCACACTGTCAGTGTGAGGGATGCCGGGCTATTTCAGGAACAAAACTCTGCAGCTTCATGATGGATCAAACAGTTGCAGGGATGTGATAGTGTGGGAGAGGAGGCAGCTCCTCTGACTGCTCCCGACGCAGAGTGTCCACAGCTTTAAATTCTGGGAGCTTTCAGCTGGAATCAGTCTTGCTACTGTGTTTTGAAATTGAAGATAAATGCAGGGGAAAAAAAAGTCTGGGAAGAATGACTTTAAAGAATCCTTCAAAATATTTTTAGTTTATTCCTGATACAGATTTCTCCTTTTCACATTTCTTACCCACAAGTTGTAGTGGTCCCCCTCTCATAAGTGACAGCTTAAATCCTTGCCTTTAACATCCCCTAATCTCAGGTTTTTGTGTGGTTTTGATTTTGTTTTAATACCTCACTGTTGGCCCCCACTTACCAGGATGTAAAGGGCCCCTTCTGAGCTGTTCTGGTACTCATCGATGGTCGAGAAGACAGACAGCACCAGGCAGGAGAAAACTAGTAGAAAACTACATAACACAAATATTTAAAATAAAAAAAAAAAAAAAATAAAGAGAGAGAGAGAGAATGTCAGTCTTCAGGGCAGGAATTTTTCATACTCATCAAAGTAGTCCAGAGAGCAATTTTGGACATATTTCTCTATGAGTATTTACTGCGCTGCTGCTACCACACCATGTAAACAGGGTGAGTGAAGAGGCCAGTTTTACTAATTGAAAGGGTTATGTGTGGACACACCCACTGGAGTGCTCCCAGTTTGGCCAGTGCCAATCTAATTCCCCTCACAGTTGACAGCTCTGATCACCTCTGACATCATTTCCCTAAGGAATTGTCAGGTCTTTCTGCTTTCAACAAGCATCCAAATGAACAGGAACATTTCTAACTGGGATAAATGGGAGCAGACGGGCTGAGGAGCAGGAGCACAGGCTGAGCATGAACCCATAAAGAGCTCCACTGATGCTCTACTTATGCATTTACATCCACAAAAGCTCACTCAGCAGTGGGACTACATTTCTTGTCAGGGTAGGACATTTTTGGGTGGATTTAATGTTCCTTCCTTAGGCAGGTACTTCACATTAACTCCTCACTGCCTGTAAAAGCTGGTGACTTTTTTTTGGGTTTGTTGTAGCATCAGTGGGAGGTTGGTAGTTGTCACTCTGCTTTTTTGTGGCCAGCCACATGACACAGTAAGGGTTTGATCCAGTCCTAGGGAATGTGATCTTGGAGTTGTTGGTACCACGAAACCAGAGACATCCCTGCCACTGGGGAGGGACCTGAAGTGGCCTGTGTCCCACCCCTGCAGGGACAAAAGGAGCCTCATCCTGCTATGAGCTGGGGGGGGAACCAGTTTTGATATCAGCACTCTCAGTCTCTTATTTGCCACGAAATAAATAGGTGAGATTCTCAAAGCCCAGCACGCACCCAGGTCTCATTGACATCTACATCCATGGGCAGCCTCCCAAAAGCAGCCTCAGGAGTGCCACACCAACCTGTCACTCACAACCTGTCCCCATCAGTGCTCTGTGCTTCTCCTGAGTGCTGGATGTTCTAATGCAAATCAAAGGGCACCGGATGAATGACAGGAGCTCAACTCTCTTCCAACACTCAGCACCTCAGTCTGCAGCTACAGAGGTGCCCTGGCACCTGCTCAAGGATGGAGGCTTCCACCCATGCCCACTGCTTGCTCCAAGAAAAGGAGGGAAATTAATTTACTAGAGATCGATTTACTAATAGAATAAAGTAGGCCAGTGCAAGGAGAAACTAAAAGCTGCATTCTTTAAGAGCATTAAATAATTCATCTGTCTGACTTTGTCTCACATTCCTACAAACTGAGTTTTGAATATTTATAAGGTTTGGTTCTGCTGGTGGGGGCTGTTCCTTTCCGGTGAATAAAGAAAAGGAGTTTCACACCACCAGGTCGTGCCTGTGGCTTTGCAGTGACCATTAATGTCGCAGCAAAAAGTAAAAATGGGGAGATCTGCAGTATTTATTTGAACCACAGGCTGAAATGTGGTGATGATGTGAGGGACTGCTGGAGGTAAGGGACCTTCAGAGCCATCTCAGCCAGGGCTGAGCTTTGTCAGCCATAAAGATGAATTCAGCACAGAGCAGATAAGGATAATTACTTGATCCGTCACTGCAAATTTTCTCTTCTCACACCAGATTTGGTACCCAGTTACTCAAAAAACCCTCAAGAGAGTAAGAAAACTTTCCTTTCAAACTGACCCATGATGTCCCTTAACATCTTCTCTAGGTCTCACTTAAACATCTTCTCTCCCCAAGCTGTTTATTCAACACCCTTGCCATAAACAATCCTGCCACAACCTGCCCTGCAGTCAGGTGGACTCCATCCATCCCAACATCCTCTGAGTTGCCTGGACCAGGCCCTAGGAGCTGGAGACAGACCCCTGCTGCTGCCTGCACTGTTGCAGGGAGAGCAGAGCTCTGCACCCCAGGAGGAAAGGAGCTGCAACTGGGTCAGGCAGCCCCACTCCTGGGGTGGCCCAGATTCTGCTGCAAACTTCTGTGTTGAAGTGAGAAACAAATGAATAATCAATGAGAGAAGAAAGAGAAGAGAAAAAAAAGAAAACAAAACAAAAAGAAAATGGAAAGGGATCAAGGGAAAAGAAATCCTAGATTTCCAGATTAAAGAAGCAGAATGTGAGCTGCATTTATTCTTTATCACCCCACATCCCAAGGATGGATTGTGCAAACCAGGGTTATGGGGAGAGCTGGGGCAGCCGGACATGTCGGTGCCACTTCTTCCCCTCCCCAGCACATCACTGCAGCCTCATCCCCGGCCTCTCCACCCTCCTCATTTCCCCAGGGCCAGCTCAGGGCTGCTGTAATTTCAGCTCTGGGCTCCCCAGGGCTCCCATTGCCAGGGAGACCTGATGCAGATCACGCTTTCAGGGCCAGCATTAATTACTGCACTGCCGAGCATGGGAGGCCACAGGGAATGCACCAGCTCATTCAGAGAAGCATGGGAGCTCCATGGCCAAATCCCACATGGACAAAAACCTTCCCCTGTCTCAGTCCTGATGAGCAAGGAACCCCCCTCTCCCAGCCCTCAGGTAAGGAATGGTCCTGCCAGCAAGGGATGAAGGCTCTGGCTCACCACAGGGTGAGCTGCATCAGCATCCCAAAATAGCTCCACACTGATGCACAGCTGCTCTGCTTGACCCTGTGGTCCACAAATCTTTGGGAGGCTGAAAAAAGGAGACTCAGAGAATGAAACCTTTCTGCAAGGGAACTGAACTCAAGGGGTTGGGGTCTGTATGGCTCCTAGGAGGCTTTGAGGGATCTACAGAACCTCTGTGGATAGAGGAGTGGAAGAAGCAAGCTAACAGGTATGTCCACATTGGAGACTGTGTGTATCCTCTGAGCTCCCAAAGAGGGAGGGCAGTGGGGAACAGGAAGCTGGACTCTGCTTTCATTCCACCTAATCTATCCAGACAGATCAGGAAAGGGCTTCAGATAATAATGGATAGTTAAGGAAAGGGAAACAAGCCAATAGATAGTGTAGATATCGGGATGAATCTAATTTTTAAAGCTACACATCTAATGAAAGCAAATTACGTCTGCAGCCTGACTCTGGGAAATGTTAATGTGTAATAAGGAACATTAATTAGGTCCCGCCTAATGATTTTTACATTAAAGATGCCAATTCTGCTTAGAGCTTTGGAGAAGACAATATCCTCCTCCTGAGCATACAGGAGCTGGGTCCTACATGCTGCATGACTGGAGCTGACACCAACCTCTCCCAGATCCCGGGCTAGATGCAAACAGCAGCTGGTAGTTTGGGACTGATGTCTCCTCTGCAGAGCGATGGCAGGGAGAAAGCTGTCTCCAGCCTCCTGGAGAAGGACACCTCATGTCACTGCATCTTCTCACCCACCACCCATTCCTACGGGCATCCAGTACCTTCTGCTGCTCTGGCATCCCCCATGCCTGTTGCTGAGACCTTCAAGCTCAGCCAAGACTCAGCTGTGCAAATCTCACTGCTGCTAATACCAATAAATCCAAAGACCTGCAAAGTCTGACTTTACATCCAAAGGTTATGTTGACTTAAAACACCCGTGCAAGCTTCTTATTACAGTTTATAAATCCCAGCACAAAATCTGCATATCCGTATTTCATATCCACTGTGCTTCAGGTTGGCAACAGAAAAAGAAATGACTGAGCTCCCCCTTGGAAAAAGGAATACTTAAAACGGCATGAAACAGGAAAGATTGTCCTTCTCTCTTTTTTTCCCTCAGTGAAAGCACATGATGGAATCATCATAAAGCTTCTCAGGTTAATCATCTAATTTGACTTCCAAAAGAAACCCCCTTGGAATCTACACACCCATTTACATAAGAATTTAAAAAGACTTCTGAATCTATTCCTGAAATACTCATATTCAAATAACGTTCACTGACACTCAGAAATGCAGGGGTTCCTCTGGTGGAGCACCACTAATTAGCAACTGGATTCCTGGATGTGATGGAGATGGATACAACACAAGGAGGTGACAAAAGCTTGTTACTTTTAACTTTTTAACTGTTGCCCACTTTGCTTTCCCTGGAACTGGGACGTTAACTATTTGTTTAATTAGAAGGAGCAAAGCTGTAAAGGGAAGAGCAGTTTACTACAGGCTTTCAAGAGATGCATGATGAAAATTACTTTGGGGATGTAAAAAAGGCATTGGTGATTGTGCTGAAATAAAACCAACATCCTTACAGGCAATCCATCTGCACTCCCAACAATCCATTTGCTGCGGTCTCTGTAAAACGCTGCAGTTCCAGTACCTGAAACTTCAATGGAAATCAAAGGCCGGGAAAATGCAGCAATGACAATAAGTGAAGGTGAAAGAACATCCCTATCAAAGAGAAACAGAGACTGGAAAATGCCTTTTAGTGCTCAGAGAGCCTCAAAATTGGAATGGGAGTATTTACAGCTCAGTTTAAACCTCCGCTGAATCAAAAGCAGAACTCTGAGAAAGCCATGGCTTTACCAGGGATAAAAAACTGTCATATGGCACCTACCCTTAGCCAGGAGCATCTATCATCTTTATTCGTGTAAGCAATCCTGCAGTGACTTGCAACCTGGCTGTTCATTTACAAGGCTAAGCACAAGCCTAAACGCCTCACTCCGGGTTTCCACATCCCTCAGGTTTCCACATCCCTCAGTCTGAGCCAAAATCATTTCCCAAGGCAAATTCTGTCACTGCAAGAGCTGAAAATAGAAGTGGGGAGTCCTGCCTTTTGGTCCTGTGCCTTAATAAATGGTCTCCTTTCCAAAAATTCCTCCTGAGAGTGTCTCCCTGCAGGTTTGGCCATGCCCAGCTCCATTCTCTCTCCCACAGTCATGCTCCTTGGATGAGTCTGGAGGATCCCTGAGCATCCAGGTGGGCAGGAAACATGGGTTATGGTCAAAACACCGGCTGGCTCCAAGGCAGGGACTGTCATGGTTTATAAACTTTTTAATAAATCATGATCAAAGGCCTGTCTGGGACAACATTACCAGCTCC